AGGTCCACAAAATTAGTGAACCAAAGATTGCAAGAATTTTTACCAAAACCAATCAGGAACACAACTCCCTTGGCGTTCGTCGCACATATGTTGAACGTCCAAAAAGCCTGCCTGAAGCTCGCATGCGTCGCGTGAAATTGAGTTGGAAACGAACTCGGCTCCCAAACCCTTACCCTTTCGTTGGGCTCACGGTGATGTAGGTTGATGACCGCCAAAGGCCTTGGCAGTCGCCGTTGTGATGTCAGGCTGCTCAAGACCACATCCTCACTTTTCCTTGCACGACCCTTTGAGCCAAGATCGTCCTCGAGACCCCACTCCCTGACCAAAAACATCGGGTCACCACCACAGTCAAACCGTGCCGCCCAACGCGAGACAGCAAAGCACGTGCACGCGCACATGGAACCACGGCTGATCCAGGAGCCCTCGTCCGATACCTTACCCTCTCCAAGATCGATGCGCAGCTCTGATCAGAGGCCCCAAATGATATAACGCAAGGGCGCTGGCCACACTCAGCTCCGGCATCTTCGGACCATCGCCTCTCCGATCCTGCAGGGAAAGAATCGCAGCAATGATGATCAATGCAAGCAACAACAGAGTATACTGATGAATGACAGCTTGCGCGTAAGATTGAGGTATTAAAAGGGTGGCAGATAGAAAGAAAGCGAAGGAAATGACTGCAGGAAGCTCTCTAACTATGTGTAGCATGAACGGAACAAAAGCTAGGAATCCAGATGACACGCAGGTACGAGGAGATTCTGGGGCATTAGGGAGCCTGGCCTACTAAGAATGCTAAGTACCAATGCAAGCACCACAAGTAGTGAACCAATGTAGCGTGCTCCTGACGCAGAATCAGACCACGATGCTCTTCTTATCAAAGAAAGCCTGGCCATTTCGCATTTTTGAGCTAGGACAAAGGAAATGCTGGCCAATGTTCGAGTACCACAATGTTCTTCACATTTTTATGAGGGTGATTGCTTGAGTCCGTCGGTTTTCAACTCGGCGACTTTCGGCAAAACCAAAACGGTTTAGCGCGCTTCTCCCCAACGATGAATCGTAAACCCGTGCAAAAGCTTCAAAGACAGCGTTTCTTTCAATCAACATCTTGCCAACATGCTTTCCAGAGCTCTGAGGGGCGGACATCGCGCTCTGACGTTGAAGCGCAATGTCAATGTCTACGTGCCTTTGGCGAAGAGAACTGTCACTACCGATGCCGCCTCATCTCACGCCGAGAAAGAACATGTGCCCGAAGTAAGACGTGCTCCACAGAGCGAGTCCAGGCCAACGAGCTGACTTTGATGTGCGTCTTCAGGAAGATGACAAGCCTTTCCAAGTCACGCTCTCTAATGAGAGCTTTGAAACCTACGAACTCGACCCTCCTCCATTCACCCTAGAGACCACGAAGAAGGAGCTCAAGCGGATGTACTACGATATGGTATCAATAAGGTAAGATCTGTATCTGGTTCCTAGTTGGCCGCTGCTGACTCCAAATCCTTGCAGACGGATGGAAATGGCCGCGGACAGACTATACAAAGAGAAAAAGATCCGAGGTTTCTGCCATCTTTCCACCGGCCAAGAAGCCGTTGCAGCAGGCATTGAGCACGCTATAACCAAAGAAGACCACGTCATCACCGCTTACCGATGTCACGGCTTTGCCCTTATGCGCGGCGGAACCGTCAAGAGGATCATCGGCGAGCTGCTTGGCCGAAGAGAAGGCATTGCCTACGGAAAGGGTGGATCTATGCATATGTTTGCAAAAGGTTTCTACGGCGGCAATGGTATAGTCGGCGCTCAAGTACCTGTTGGTACGGGCATTGCATTCGCCAATCAATACAAGGACAATACCAACACCACAATCTGCCTCTACGGAGACGGTGCCAGCAATCAAGGCCAAGTCTTTGAAGCATTCAATATGGCTAAGCTTTGGAACCTACCCATACTTTTCGGCTGCGAAAGTACGGCACCCTTCCCACCCTCTATACGCTACCAGCTGACACTCCACCCTCTCAGACAACAAATACGGCATGGGCACCGCCGCCAACCGCGCCGCCGCTCTCACCGAATACTACAAACGCGGCCAATACATCCCCGGCCTCAAAGTCAACGGCATGGACATCCTCGCCGTCAAAGCCGCCGTCCAATACGGCAAACAGTACACCACCGAAGGCCACGGCCCTCTCGTCCTCGAGTACGTCACCTACCGCTACGGCGGGCACTCCATGTCCGACCCGGGCACCACCTACCGCACGCGCGAAGAAATCCAACGCATGCGCTCGACCCAAGACCCCATCGCAGGACTCAAGCAGAAACTGCTGGACTGGGAAGTCACCACCGAGGAGGAGCTGAAGGGGATAGACAAAGAGGCGAGGTCGTCCGTGGACAAAGAGGTGGAGATCGCCGAGAAGATGGCGGTGCCGGAGGCGACGCCGAAGATTCTGTACGAGGATATCTATGTCAGGGGCAGCGAGCCGGAGTTCATGAGGGGCAGGATTCCGGATGAGAATTACTACTATGAGCAGAGCGTGAGGGAGGGGGGCAATCTGGGTCGCTATGAAGGTGAGAGGCAGGCTGCGTAGATAGATGAGATTAGCATTCTCCGGTTTTTTTATTCGATCATAAATAAACGTGCATGTCAGATCTATTCGAAGCGGTGAATCGCCTCGTGAAATGCCGTTTCGCTCATCTCGTCTTCCTGACCGGATTTGCAACTTCTTATTCACAAGACTCAACGAATTGCATGATGCCAACGGCCTGTTTATTTAAATAGGTACCTATTCAACTCCGTTCCTGATTTTCTGCCCTGCAGTGGTGATGCAGTCGTCATGCACTGAATGCTGTGCAGAGACTCAGCAAACGGCAGCCTGAGAGATATTCGCTTGGAAAGGCCCGTTTCCAGCATCAGCATCAGCATCAAAAATTTGTACCGTCGCTGCTCGTAAGCTTGTGTTCCCCACAGCTAATCATGTCGTCAGGGTATCATTTATCGATGTTGAAAGTTGAAACACGTTCAATGTCGTATGCTTAAAGAGCTTCACTCCTTGCTCTCTTCGCGTCTCCGGCCATTTCTTCATCTTCGTCTTCGTCGTCTTCGTCAATCACCTTTCTCTTTGCTCGATCTCTCTTATCTAAACTGCCACTCGCCTCCGCGCCCTGCCACTTCTCCATTCCTCTCAATAATCGCTCGTAATCACCAGCTACCTCTCCAACCGTTTGCTCCACCTTGTCCACCCTCTCTCCTCGATCTAATTGGATTAGCACATCCTTGTTCTTTTTATAGACTCTCTGCTTGACGAGCAAGCGCCAATAGTAGAAAGCCCGGTCGTTCGGATCAGTCGCTCGCGCTCTTTGTGTGAGGCGCGCCGTGCCTGCTCGTCGGTTGTGTGGAGCGATTTTCGTGAGCAGATAGAGCTCGACGACACGGGCGAATTGCCGAGGTGCGATCTTGTTCTTTTTTCGAAGGGTTTCCAGTAACGGCATATCCAAAAGCTTAGAAGTTGGAACACGGACCCCAATTTTTCTTGCTGATAATTTGGGATCGATGTCTGTTCTTAGGAAGATTCTGGCCAAAGTGCCATTGTCCAGGAGATGCTTGTAATCGCAATAATCGCGCAGGTCGTCAAATGCTTCATTGGGATCTTCGACCGTGATCTCCGTGCACGTGTGTGAGGCGCGGAATGTTTTGACCATGGCGTTGTAGAGATGTGTGCCGTGTCCATGGGAGTGGTGGGACGGAAGGATGAGAAACTGAGATATTCGGGCGCGGGAGGGTAGAGATGCGGGTGAGATTGGTGTCGGAGGTGGGAGAGTGAAGTCTTGGGTGGAGGACTTGGATGAGGCGGTGGGGACGTAGGTGACGAAGCGGTATGAAGTCGAATAGCCGACTATGGAATACGGGGAGGTGTTTGGTGATGGTAGGTTTGAGAGTTTCTCGTAGCTTACACGACTTTGTCAACGGCGCTTCGGACACAGTATAGAGAGTACGCACACAAAGTAGACCCGCCATCGAGCAAGTGTCCAGTCTTGATCATCCAGCAGCAACGGCGTGCCTCCCTCTATGAAGAATGAAATCATGATCTGTATCCTTTCGACGAGTCGTTGGACAGTTGGATCTGTCAATTCTCCACTCCATATCTCGAAGTTCCGCCCTTTGCTCTGATATGTCTCCAGAAGCTCTCCCGGTGGCTTGAAGCTCGAAGCGGATGTGTCGTTCTGAATGTGCGAAGTAAAGGCTCCAAGTTTCTCGAAGGTATCTACCACATAGCATCAGCCCGTTTCCCCCTTCAGGGATTGCAATTATTTCCCCACATTCAGGAACCCATTCCTTCAGCGTTTCCTCAATGTCCGTAGCCTTCGTATCCCCTACTGCCTTAAATTTCTTGTCATAGAGAACTTCTAGGTTCGGACGTAGATCATGTGCCGCGAATCTCAGATTGAGCTTCAGACTCTGGTATCCAAATATACGCTCCTCATCGCCGAATATGGGGTATGTGAATTGAGGATGAAATGAGGAGAGTGTTTTGAGTGAGCCTGGCGCGGCTTGGACGAAGGAGATCTCTAGAGCTTCGTTCGCATTACTAGACCCTGTGATGTTGTCAGCATGCAAGACCAAGATCAAAGATATATCACACCTACATTCCTCCTGATCAGCCATACTGAAGTCGTGATGGGTAGGAAGAGAGCAGTTACGGTAAGTGAGATCTTTGAAGTCTAGAAGTCGCGTCCGCGCTTCACGACCACTTTAAGATTTTGATAGGGCTGAGTGGGCCAGCGTGTTTTAGCCGTACCACGGAATTCATATTCAAAGTCAGAGCTTTGCGCTGTGGGAGCAAGGTTACTGCAATACCATTGCGAGTCACTGAATGAACTCATGATCTGGCGAACTCAAAATGAGACCTTAATCGAAAGCTAGTCCTCAGGATCATCTACTTAGGCTTCCCAATAATCGAGGTATTCATTTCAAGATGCTAGACGGCCTTTTTATGCTGCTCACTTTGAGCACCATAATGGCCATCGCGTGAGGAACTGTCCCCGAAGTTGCTTGGAAGTGTGCTGATTCGAGATACAGGTCTTTTCTGGCTGGATCCCTACCCCTGTCATTTACCCTTTCCCAGTCGAGACTACGATTAATATCTACCATTGGAATGGGGGTTCTGGTTGGCACAGCGCTGATAGTGATTATACCCGAAGGCGTCGAGACCTTGTACAGCGCGAGCGATTACTCTGCAGAGGCGCACAGTCGAAGGAATACAATGGAACATGCCAGCGTGGTGCAGCGGGACGTTGAAGGACTGCATACCCTTAACCTCCGGGCAATATCCCTGGAAGATGAAACGCCAGATGCGAACCCATACAATGTTCTCCCCGGGCCAGTCCTGCCTGAGGATACAAAAGCGCAGCAAGGTGATCCAGACGCTCATTCGAAGAACCCCCCAGTAACGCCAACTGAACCTGGCAAGGTTGGCATTCTCGAGGACGACACCTCTACAATATCTGCTCCGTCCCTTGAGAAACCAGGGAAGACGACGGAAAGCTCTCAAGAAAAGCGTGAACCGCATGCCTGGATTGGACTCTCCTTGATATGCGGCTTCATCCTCATGTATCTCCTCGATACCCTACCATTCCTCGCTCCACCAACGCCGCAACGGCCTCACAGCAACATTTACTCTCTCTCGGATCTCTCCACGTCTCCTCCACCTACTCCTGCAACTCCGCAACGTTCCATGTCGACCACACTTGGCCTCTGCATACATGCAGCAGCAGATGGTATCGCACTTGGCGCATCATCTTCGTCTACTTCCACCACCTCATTATCTCTAATCATATTTGTGGCCATCATGGTCCACAAAGCGCCGGCTGCGTTTGGACTCACCTCAGTTTTACTCAAGCAAGGACTTGGGAAGAGGGCCGCAAGAGCACACCTGATTATCTTTAGTCTTGCCGCGCCAGTGGGAGCTGTGGGGACGTGGGTAGTCGTTAGGACACTGGGAGGGGGAGGTAATACAGAACCAGCACTGATGAAGTGGTGGACGGGAGTACTGTTACTGTTTTCTGGGGGAACATTCTTGTGGGTAGCTCCAGTATCGGATGCCAAATGCGCAACCGCTGACACTCAGATCTCACAGATATGTGGCAATGCACACAATGCAAGAAGAAGACAGTCAAAATGCAGCACAAGACGAAAGCCAAAGCAATGGCTATTTAGAATCAGGAGGGCGACCGTCTCGTCGACAGAAGGGGGGCAGAAATCCAAGGCTGGTCCTGGCTGCGGTGGGAGGTATGCTGTTACCGCTGATCACTCAGATAGGTCATGCCCATTGATGTACTAGTATAACGTAACTGTATCATATCTGCTACCTACCACGGGTTCTATGGATCCGTGGTATTTGAGACTTTCGGTATCACGCGCTCTATTCTTCTCACTCTTATAGCGATTGAAGCGAAGAGACTGATATGGTGAAAGTAATGCCACTCGGTAGCAACTGTTCTGGATGTTGTGGGACGAAAATCTAACTAGCAGAGGCTCTTTGGTGTTACAACAGGATCGATGTGGAAATATCTCACTAATTTAGACCACTTTCCTTCCCCTCTCCAGATCTCCAAAACGTGCGATGACCAAGTCACCCACGCACATTGTACTTTCAAATAAGATGATGAGGTCGAGGGACGTAGCTGGGAAATCAATCTCTGCGCCTCATGTGGCCAAGCACAGCCTCACAGCCTGGGCACGCCACAGTGATCGACGAATCAATAACACGCTAGCACTCCGGGACCACTCGGGATGACGAGATTGTAGGAGCCGCGTTCCTGTATAATAAATGAACAGGGGCAAAGACATGGTGTGTGCACTATTTGATTCCGTAGCATGAGCGGAGGCTCAGGAGATGTAGAAAATTTCTTTTAAATTTCTTTTGTGCAGGGCCTCTGAATGGGCTGGTGAAAGAGGTTAGAAGCATTCGCATCGTCAAAAGCAAATGAACTCCCAGTCATATGATGCTCCCGGATACTTGATTCTATAATTTCAGACGTCAATTTTATTGGCGCGAAAAATCAAGGCTTCATTATTCTAAGCAAAGTTTGCCTGAGAATTACGTAGCCCGCAGAAAAATAACATCATCTCTTCCATCTCTTCCATTTCTTCTGTTCCTTTCCCTCGATTCCTCTCAAACAATAGAGGGCATCTACCACAAATCTCCCTTCCACATCTCTCTCTCTCTCACTCACACATCTTCAAGATGTCTAAGCTCGCCCTGGGCACTCGGGCTGCGTCCACCTGCCTCCGCGCCCTCGAGTTTGCAATATCCGCCTTGGTTCTGGGTACCTTCTCATGGTACCTCGCATGTATGTATGCGCGCGTGGACACTTCTACACCGTTTACTGACAGTGTAAAGACCTAGCAGACCACCACCGCCATATTCCAACATGGGAGAAGGCAGTCGAGGGTATGTCTGGTGGAGCTGTCATCTACACCGGTTTCGCCGTCATTCTTACCTGCTTCCTCGGCGGCATCACCTTCTTTGCTTTCCTCGGTCTTCTCCTTGACCTGCTTTTCTGCGGATGCTTTGTCGCTATCGCCGTCCTTGCAAGAGGCGGCGCCAAAAGTTGCGGCACTGTCAACAATTCGCCCATTGGAACTGGAGCGCATGTCTCCTGCCAATTGCAGAGAGCCGTGTTCGCCGTCGCCATTGCTAACGCGTAAGTATTCTATCACCATCAGCGTCTCCGATTGAGCTACCTTAGCTGACTATCATACTCTGTAGCTGTCTATTCCTAATATCCGCAGCACTCGAAATCGTCCTCAGCCGCGCCCGCAAGAGGGAGAAGCGCTACGGCCCCAGCCCAGCGAACGACTACACCTCCGGCTACGGCAAACGACGATTCTGGCAAAAGAAGAATAACAAGAATAAGACCTCGAAGCATGAGGATGAGGAGCTCGGTGCCGTCGGTGCCGTCGGTGCTGGAGGTTTGGTCGCAGAAGAGAGGCATCGTACTCGCAATAACCACAACAGCGAGCGCATATCAGACGACACCGCTATGACCGGTACGACCGCCCCAGTTGCGGACGGCTACGGTGGACCAAACAACAAGTACATCCAGGAGCCTACTGTACCCACCCAAACCCACCTGGGACAGACTGATGGATATGCGAACCAACAGACTCTTGGTGTTGATTCTGGAGCCGCTATGCCTGAAATGGAGAGTAACGTGGGTGGCGGCGGGCACTACGTCCAGCACGTCAGCGAACCCTACGCTGAAGTACACCACGGCGGCTATGTCCATCAGGCGCACGGCATACCCTAAGTAGCTACCACCTACTAGAGGGCTCGAATGTTGTTGCTTGACCTTCGAAGCTTGAAGGCCTCAGCATCGCATGGCAGACCAATTTATTATCACCTCAGCTGATTTATGGTGTTCTCACAAAAAGAACGGATCTCTTTTCATACTGGATGTCGATACCAAAATTTTCTCCTCTTTGCAGCGATGGATTTAGCGTGTACAAATGATTCATCTCAACGGCCGGGCAACACAGGTAACGACAGCCAATCTTGGTCAATTGGCTGCAAATCAAGTATTATTAATATTAGTCTTGAACAATAAGGCGTCTTACCACCGTGACTATGAAGCTTTTGACCTGTTCTTTTGTCTCGATGACGATCAATGTCTCACATGTTCGAGGACTTCTTTTAACTACGTCTTCTCCCTGTCTAATTCAAACAGCTCTGGGTTCTCTGTCATCTCACGTCAGAGGCCAGCAGAGGACCGCCTATCCGCTGGCGCCCGAATCGCGCCCGCATCGCGCCCGCAAGGCTTGAGAGCGAATCATCGACAGCCCTGTCAATGCTACCTTCCTACTTGAGGTTTCGGACCTCGCACCTGTTGACATTCGAACTGCAGGCTGCCACACTCAAGGTCCAGTTATGGAATCAGCTCGGCAGGACATTCCCGTCCGAGGTTTCGAACCTCGCAATCGATGAACCTCGTTGTCAGACCCGCAGCTTGGCGCCCGCAGGTGGGCCTTTGCTGACACGCCGTCAGATTCCGGCCGGCCGGCCGAACCACAACAGACCAAAGTACTACCTTCCTATTCCGGGTTTTGCTCCTTGCACACGTTGGCGTCCGTACGAAGGAGATAAGTCAAGTTCGCACCGCCGCCGTTTGTACTTTCCTGGATGAGGTTTTGTGAAGGCTTTCCTTTGGACTTCGTGGTCAGGATTGACCCTGACGGAGACAGTTGTCCGCGAATCACTGAAGGCTTGGGTCGCTATTATTACCTTCCTGTTCCAGACGCCCCTGTTCTGTAAACGTTTCGGGCCTCGGGGGTGATGGGTTGGCTGTAACCACTGGCTGCGACGCCTTGACCAAGTACAGCCGCTTTCGCCGCTTTACCCTCAACCCCCAAGGAAGACACTCTGAAATAGCGAGGGCAAAACAAGATATGGTGCCAGGGCTGACGAGTATGACATTCACCATCGCTCGCAGCAGTGGTTCACCGCTTTGCTCTTCATCTTGAGCCCGGCTTTAAAGTTTCGCTGTTCGAATTTTACGTCAATGCTTTTTTTTTTGGCAAAGAGAAGTTCATTTTGTGCGTTAAGTCCACTTCAATTCAGTCTGACCTGGATAAAGACTAGCTGGGTCTCTTATTAGACCCTACGAGCAGAAACGCCCAATCCTAGCCAGCGGCCCCTCACGATTCTGCGGAACAATGGCAACATCATCAGCATTCCCATCCGGCCGCGCCACGGCCTGTGGTATGCCATCCGCATTACCGGCCAACAACTTTTTGATATTCTCCAAGATGATTTCACTTCTCGTGCACGTCATCGACCAAATCGCAATAGCATGCAGTCGGATTTGTGCCGCCGCGGCAACAAACGCGTTCGCGATATAGGCCTCCATGACCTGTACATCGCCCCTCTGCCTGCGTCTGTTGATAAATCTTTCAAACGCCGCAGCAATGGCACCGACTGCTGCGACAAGTAAAACATTCCCAATTGCCGGAACATGGACCGTGAGGCCTTCGTGTGCGATCGCGGATACGAGAGCACTGAAGACCATGGCGAAACCTCCGACCCTGCCGACCAGGATCAAGGTGATCTTTCCGGTCATGTCTTGGGGCCGGTATCGCTGCAAAAGCGCTCTCGATCCTCCTATCGGTGGATCGCAGATGATGGCGTCGAGCGCGGCATACAGGTTCGCCAACTCCGCTTCCAACATGCTCATGGTGTAGTTGTACAGCCTTTCCGGCGACAGCCCTATGAGAGACTGATACAAGGATAGTAAGGTTGCGTTGTAGACCATCTCTCCGCGGTACGGGGATTCGATATCGCCGATGACGTTGTCGGGACAGAGTCCTGCAGGAAAGGTAATATTGTATCCGTTGCCATCGGCATCCTCGTATGTCACCGACCATGTCTTGGTATAAAGAGTGTTGTACTGAGGTGTACGCAAGTGTGCCAGCGGCCTCACATTTTCGACTTCATATGGCAGTCTCCGCCCTGGCCCATCTCGCGCGACGAGGTTGGCGGGCAATGAGCAAGACCAATCCGAGACATTGGGAGCCGAAACATCCACGTTGTCAATGTTACCCACGCATTTCTGCAGCAACAACGAGCTTTGATTGGCGATGTCTTCTGGGGGATTGGCTACTACCCATTGACCGATGGTCGCGTTTGTGCTTGGTCGGGCAAGCGTGCCAGCTTGCACAAGATCAAAGCCCGTAAGCTTGGTCTGATTTGGTGTTGGTTCAAGCGCGCTCGGCTGCACAAGATCCAGATCCCGTGGCTGCAGTGGCAAAGGTGGATTGACTGGAGTCGTCATAAGTACTGCTGCGGCTGCGACATCTGCTGTCGCTATGGCGATGGCGAGTCTGGAGAACCGACTTGTGTGCATCTTTCAAGTAACTTGGGGGACAGAGTGGGCCAGAGATCCTATCTCCTTGGGGATAACTTCAAGTTTGTTTTCGAAACCACCCTCGACACCCGGGTCTCACGCAGGTTTTGTGTCATTCCATCGCATCCATCGATCGCTTACATTGAATTCTCTTGAAAGCTAACCTCGTACATATGCATGACGCAACCTACCTTATATATTTGCCTAACCGACAGTGGCCTCAACCATCGATTGGCGCGGCAATCCCTTTTCGGCTTGAGCCACAACGCAGGCCGAGATCTTGCATTCAATTTTCAGCAAATGTTTACTGCAGGAGGCTGGAGGACGCAATTAAAGGTAGATCATGTGGGGGTCAAGAACCGGCAACGATCCATTTCGGCTTGATCCAGAACGCAGGGCTGGGTTTTGAAACCTATTGAACCCGCAGATTTACATACTGCAGGAGGCTGCGGGACGCATCCGAAAAGTAGGGTAGATCAAGTGGGGGTAAGGTCTGATGATGCGATACGGCTCGGAGAGATCCATAGAACCCGGACGCAGAGCAGCATGACTTCCATGTTCCCACGGAGTCTGTGAGGCTACCAGCAAAGAGTCACGAAACCATTATTAAACCAGCCGCCAAACAAAAGACATGGTCTACCGCTTAGGTATCTAGCCGACAAGCGAAGAGTGAGTAACACACAATACTTAACTGCCCGGTGAGTCTCGGTATTCGCATATGCGCTCTTTAGTCTTCATTGCCTGTGAAGGTTATTCTTGCAAGCGGCTCAATGGGACGTAAAGGGAGTAGGTAAAGCACTTTGGCTTTCGGTTTGAATTGTTCACGAGAACATCGATTTTCCCAGAAGTAATCCAGAGCACTCAGATCAAGTGACTACGGGTTCGGGTGAAAGATTGAATAAATAAGATTACCCGGATTTTGTGTTCAGATTACGGCGCCAGGGAAGTTTCACGATATCATCTCAGTGTCACTGCATACACGCATGCGCTCCCCTTTTAAATCGGAATATGCGATTGATTTGGATCTTGGCATTTTGTGTATACAACATCTCCTCTGCAATCGCAGACCCAACTTTGCAGACTCGGCGTCCATCTAGTACCTCAGCCACCGACTCATGGCGCGAATACCAATCGAACGATTGTGTGAAAAAAGTTGACCGAAGAAAAAGTCTCGGCCTCTGCTCTTGAACGACGCACGCCCACAACTCCGTGATGCACACAATCATTCCGAACCACGAAGACCCGTCTCATTCGTCCCCAATCCCAACACGGCTTGCGTCTTCCCCACCGTAACGGCAATCCTGCCCTCAGTCCCCGCCGTCGTGACGCCACCCGTCTGCCCGATCGGATACTGCCCCACCATACAAGCCTCTATAATCTTCTTCACCGCGATATTGACACTGAGCCACGACCCTTCGTCGGGCCTTCCGAACTTGAGATCGACCTTGATGGAGCAGGAGTGGTAGGTCTCGACGTAAGGCAGGGCGAACGGATCGGCGTCCGAGTCGCCGCGGTGGAACGTCCCGGGTTCGTGGCGGTTGGGCAGGAAGGCGGCGGCGCGGGTGCAGTCGCTGACTTTGGCGCGGCGGTCGTTGAAGAGGTAGGCGTCGAAGCAAGAGTAGGGGTCGCCGAGGATGGGGATGGGGAGGGTGAGGTTGGAAGGAGGAGTGGTGGTGGCGGCGAGGGATAGGAGGTCAAGGGCATTATTGATGGGAGATGCGTTTATACTATTGGCGACAAGGAATGTTGTGAGGAGGATGCGGAGGATGCATTCAGGCAAGATGTTCATGGTGATGTTGTTGGAGAGCTCGACTGGAGCTCCTTTTTCTTTTCTTTCTTGCCAACATGCGACGCGTTTGTTGCACACAAATGAAAATCGACTTCCTAACGAAGGCCTTTGGGAATGGTTTGAACCAAGCCTCCCAACTTGCAAACTCCAGATGTGGCAAGAAAGAACAACAGGACTTCTGGATTCAGTGATAATGCGGGTGTAAGAACAGACGAAAGGGGGGGGGCGAAACAAGGCACGCGCATATAAAATGTGTATATCGCTTATCGCGATTCGGATTCTTTATATGCACGAATGTTCACTTTCAGGACCCTTTGACCTTATTTTTGATCTGGATGTATCCGTGCAAGTCGGATTTACCTCGAGTAGGTCGATTGCCTTCCTGCGCCCGCATGGTTCGGGGTCTCGTCGGTGCGTTCTTCCCACTCACCCTCGCGCTCTACCTACTTGGGCGGCATGTCTGGAGGGCGGATCGCACGAGGGAGGAGTGATGGCTTTGGGAAATTGCAGGATGGGAAGAGAGATCGAGGTGGTAAAGCCCGGGTTGCCTCTCGTAGGTAGACTGGCGGAGAAAGGTGATGTTTGGGGGAGAGGGACTAGCGTGTCTTGGCATTTCTATATATCACGTACCATTTGTTGAAATATCGGGCATGTGTTGTGTAGAACAGACGGATTGATTTCTCCAGGCCTCTCCAGGGCCAGGTCCTAAGTACAGTACAAAATCAGGTGGCCGGGAAGCGTGGAGGCCAAATTTCGATACCATTCTATCCCATACAACATAGAACGAGACTGCCCATATGCTTAGCTGACGGCGATCGACTCGGAAGGGCATTCTTAGGTTCCTGGACTCTGCACGACCTTCTGAGCTCCATACAATCTAAGATTCCAACTTCCTGCCTGACACGTCACTGCCGAGCTATGATTGTAAGATCAGAAATCCATGTCTTTACATGGCGGATCGGAGGGGTAGCGTTCGTATCTCCTGATTTGAGTTTCTAACTCGCAAAGGTTGGACTTCGTGGTCAGGATTACAGACTCACCGCCGAGCAGACAAGGCGATGTTACCATATTTCCCTTTGAACCATCTACGTTTCCTGCTCCGCCTCCATGACATCTGACTATCGATGACATCAAGGAAACTCACCTCATGAATCACAAGCTGTCCGTATTACCCCATAAACAAGGATATTCATTCCTAAGTCTAGGCTATACACCCACGTGATGGCTGCAAAAGCCCACGGTGAATGGAGAGTCCCTCTCATGCGCTCGCCTCTCCAGGACACCTCTCTGTCGCGACTCTCTACTCGATATCGTTCGGCGCAGGGTTTGTGCTCCGGCTTAAAGAAGAAGAAGATGGGCTAGGAGGTGGAGGAGGAAAGGGCCCGTACTTGGCAAAACGGCCATACCCGATGTAGTCCCAACCTTTGCTAGCAAGCACTATATCAAAGACGATCTCCCGAAAGCTACTCCATGGCTCGTTCATGTACTGCCAGGCTCCTGCAATGGCATCGCCTGCGAGGGTTTCGGGAGTCAGCACTTCGTTCGCCGGAATGGAGCTTGGGATATGATGCAGGCTGGGCAAGCAGGGACATCAGAGATGAATAGAACAATGATTGCTGCCACATAATAGATCCTCTGTTGTCGAGAAAATCACCACCACCAGCGGGGAAATTGCTTACCCAACAAGAAATACGTAAGTTGCCCATCCGATATCGCGTTCAAGCGCACCTCTATATCGGAAGACGACTGCCAGAACTTGCCCCCGTCTATGGGTTTGCTTCCAGCGCCGCTGTTGATTTTCCCAACGATGCGGCGGATGGCGGCGTCGATGACTCGGTTCACAGAGCTTTGGCTCAAAGTCTGACCGGTTTCGGTGATGCGGAGGACGAGGGGCGTGCCGACGATGCGGTAGTCGATCATGTTTTGACTGAGGCTCGGTGAGGTCGCGTTCTGAGAGATGAGTCCTGCAAGTGGCGTTGACGCTGGAGCTATGATCGTGTCGTTGAGCAAAGACACGGGGTTCGTGGGGGAGATTGCCAACGTGACGATGGCATCGGCTCGGAGAAGGAGGAAGAGCAGGACGAAGGGCCTGCAAACTTTCCTGTGCGCCATCGACGCTCTCTAGTCTACTGTGACGATAATGGAGAAAATTAGGAGTGTCATGTTGTGGTGATGTGACACTTTAGTATTATGTCTCAACTGTCTGTATAAAGCAGGTTCGGTCCGTCGGCAAGCGGGAGTCGAGTGTCGCTACAATGCGAGATGATTGCGTGGGCGATCGATCAGCTAGCCGGGTCAGAGACGAGAAAATTACTGGCCCAATATCGACGATAGATAAGCAGGATCAACTGCCGGGTATATTGGGGACGATCCGTACCAGTCTTGAGTTACACATATCAACGTCACGCTGAATACTCGAGTCTGATCTCCAACTGTTTTGAGCACAACAGACCTGCTGAGTGGAGAAGCAATATTCCACATAACGCCGGCTTTTATCGTCCACTTCGAAACACTCTCTCACCCCACAGAATCGTCCAATCACAAATCCTCAACGTCTGTGACCATTCCCTTAATGATATCAAAAAGGAAACCAAAGACCTTCAAGCCCTTCTTGAGATATGGTGACGCTTTGATGGCGTCCATATCGTCCACGAGGGACCATTTAATACTGCAAATAACCTCGATCAGCACCCGAAATCATCGCAAGGCGAGAAAGCAAAGACCTACTTCTTGATCACTCCAAAGTCCATCGTATCCACCTATTGCTCTTTCTCCGAACCCAACCGCTCTTTGAGCTTCATCTTAGGGATGTCGTTGGTGATTTGTGCCCCGCTGCCATCTGTCCGACAGGCGATTCCGGTCAGCTTTTCCTGCCAAGGTGTATGTAGGTGGGAGGAAGGATGGATGAAATCGTGTCACCAGTATGGTAAACCACCATCACAGTGCCCACTCCCGCCATGCTGTCAAGCACCACGATGCTCCTCAAGGCGTCGGCATTGACGCGGCCGCCGGCATTGCTAAGGACGGCGCCTTTGAGAAAGCGACTGACTTCGTCGACTTTGGGGTAGAGACCTAGCTCCGGTCAGTGTGAAGCTTGGTCGAAGTTGTCTGATGACGCCTTACCTCTGAGCAGAATTTTGACAACATTGTGCATCTCCGAGACAGCTGTACTGCAGCTTTGATAGGTCAGGAGCGCTTCTTGGTCATGCACGTCTGGGACTCTCTCGTATGGGAATGGCATCAGTTGGCTTGTACCGGTGTAGACTCCGGGATGTATAAGCCAAGTCGTTCCAGTCTTTTCAATCCGCCCAGGACACCATGTAGATTGTTTTGGTGTACAGATAGAAAATCTGCTGCGCCATCGCCCCGGCACGATACCAAGCTTGTCGCGCCTGCGCAGCTTTACACTGGGCCTTGTGCTCAGTCCAGTGCGCCTTTTGACATTCCGCCCCGCAGTACCCTGCGCTTGAGACTTGTCCATCGGTGGCGTTGGGCATCGCTTTGCAGGCCTTGCAAATATGGGTTGTACCTTTTGAGCAATTCGAACACTGGTGCACATCACATTTTGAGGCTGATGTCATCTTGGTCGATGCCGATATCGAAATTGAAGAGATTCTGTTGAACGGAAGTAGAGGTATGAGAATCATAGATAGCTCAGTGAATCAAGCCGGGGGCGGGTAGAAGTGAGAATTTTGTAGGATCCGCGATGGTTTCAAGAATCGGATCAAGTAGATCGAAAAGGTTGCAATAGATAGATAGGTGAAGGATCTGGGCCCGAGATGGTGGTTTCTTCCCAGGCCTTTCAACCCCTTTGTATCTCGCTTAGAGTGGAAGGATTTCAGCTTCCTCACGTAATTCTCGCATGTTCACGTTGTGAATTCTACCACACTACAACTTCTTCGGTTGTCGTTGTCCAGTCGTTCTGTTGCATGATGGAATACCCTGCATTCACATCGAGTAAATTTGATTTTTGCTCACACTACCATACTTGGCTTGCCATGCAAAGAAGTACAACAGCGCGGCCAGCGGCTGACCTACAAGACAGAAGCTGATCCAGAAAATGCAGTTCCCTAACAGCTTTCCATATATACCTTCCATTCTCTCCAACGGCAATGTAAAATAAATCATCGGTATCTGCACGATCATCCCGATGAACGCGACACCTTGAAATAGGGCTTGGTCAGCCTCTCCCCTCTAGCCGTAGACAAGGTCACAAGAGATCATGAGAGTCGAACATACCAAGGATATTGTGCGTTGGCACCCCTACCAACAGTTCGTGCAGTACCCCGCTAAACACAAAAACCCAGGCGCTCGCGGCATTCGAACTCCACCCCCTCCCCACCAACGGCGCATAGATGTGCCTCTTCATGAAATGATAGATAGGCTTGTTCCAGGTCCTCCAATAAGTGCCAACGCTCGGACTGTTCCACCAATCCGTGTAAAATTCTCGGTCGCCAAACCTCATAATTTCCGCCAATGCATTGAGCACGGATTGGAAAACGGCGAAGAAGCCGGCTAGCCAAATTACTAGACTGATAGTGGAAAGCTTCATCAGGCGCTCGAGGATGGAAGGGAGGTCTAGGGAGGCGATCTTGAAAACAGAATTATGGAGGAGTGGTGCGGCGTATTCTATACAGACTTCGAGGTCAGCATTGCTTCTTCACGGCAGAAATTGGGATTTGCTAGACAGGTCTCGGGAGTGAAAAAGTCCCTTTGCCCCCGAAGCATGTCTTGTGACTCAAGCTCCACATCAGATAGGAAGGATCAGCTCGGAATTGTACGTACGGGCGCTTGCGAGCCAAATGAAAATGCTGAGACTGGTAGCTTCGGCGAGGCGCTTGGCAATGAAAGGCCAACGGATGGTAGAGGTGCGGGGATAGACGGGTTGATAGACTAAGGTTGGTGCCCACCAGAAGTAGGATAGGTTGCTGAGGGTGATGTTCCTTGGATAAGGACAGACGGAGTAGAGCTCTGGGATAGAGGATGCAGAGTCGGCTTTTAGGAGGGCATGACGGAGGTCGCGATTTGTAAAAGCGTAGGAACAGATCTTGAGCCAGACAATGATGGCATGCACCTCCGAGATGGTGCCGATGAGGGGATGATGGATCAAGTTGTACACCGTGAGGCTTGTGACGAGAAGGGAAAGGGTGGCGTTGATGCCGTGGGCCCAAGCAATGGTAAGCCATGTTGTTCGGAAGCTCTTAGCGGCTTGTGCGCTGTCCGGAGGATCCTCCGAATGCCGTTTGGCACGACCAAGGGCACCTTTGGCTTGGTGTGCGGCGGCAAGTTCGATGATATAAGCGACGAAGAGATGGCAAGGAACGAGCAGGTAGAGAACAATACCGAGAAGTATGTCTTGCCGGCGATAATCATGGCAGCGTATACATATAAGAACTCCGTACTGAAGATGCTGTCAGGGTCGCATCAAGCAAAGCATAGACGTGAACTCCCTTACTTTCATGAAATTTTCAACGACCAGTCGTAGATTCATTACAACTGCACGAAGTCTTGGTTAGCCCATTTTGGGTACTTCCGGCAAGGGTCGCAGCTTTTGACAGTCATGAAGTACGTACCTAATACAATAACCATTAGATTTTTGAAACCAAGAAAACTAGGTGTTAATTCTGCGTCACGACTCAAGCAGGAAGTGCGGGCTCTCGAGTGAACTGCAGCGATGTGTCGGTACTTGGACGAAATATCCCTCGTAATGGGGCCAGTAGCATTTCCATTGACGGGACTCGAATTGCTTGAGAGAACACTCCCGTTGGCGTGAGCTGGAGTTGCATCATGGCTTGCTATCTCTGGTGGGCTCAAGGTGCGAGCAATTGCTGCCATTGAAGCAAATGCTTCCTCGCGTTCCGAAAATGGGGGCTCTTTCTCTGAGGGACCTGTAATAGCGAGTACTGAAATTTCCTGGACAATTAACCTATCTGAGTCTACAGTAAGCAAGACATGGCTGATAAAGGGAGACAAACATATCAAGCGATGGAATGTCCGCTGTTATGTTGTTCTTGAACTGTCATGCACAACATTTTCCGGGTTGGGGCACGCACGTCACTTGCAGATCTCCCGAATTATGCCCGGATGCCGTAAGTACAGTACTTTACAAGCATGCGCGCTTGTCGCGTCAAACAAGCTTTCTGCAGCTCAGAGTGCTAAAGTTAAGTAGGTCCTACTGTCACATTAGCTATCATAATAGTGCCTTTCACTATGACCTTCCATACAAGGTAGTCATGGACAGGGAATATCATGGCAGTGGCTATGGAGGGGGAGGACTCGGGGGTGGAGGCGGATACGATGGTCCTCATCGTCGGCCCTTTGGAAGAAGTCAGTGAATCACCCCACACCTTGCGCATCAAGTCCACTTGCTGGAGCTCACATACTTTAACATTTTGCAATGGCGTGCACTGATTCCGGAACAGGGCCCGTCACAGACTACACCTCTTCGATGGTACAATGGATGCGACATCGGCAACCCCGATACAAGGGAGGAGGGCGTATGGAGATGGAGAGGCCAAGCCCAAGCTACATAGTCGATGTATGTAGCTGCACGAGAATCCAAGCTACAAGCAAATCAAACAAGTTCTGACCCCTCCCATTGAATAGATGCTCCCGCCTTCTGCAAAGCTCCAAAACGCCGCCGATGCCGTACCTGCGAAACTCCTACACTCTTCTCTCAACAAAGTCAAGCATCCAATCAACGTCGTGAAATGGACACCCGAGGGCCGACGACTGTTGACAGGCTCGAGCATTGGAGAGTTTACGCTATGGAATGGCATGGGCTTCAACTTCGAGACAATCTCACAGGTAGGTGATGTCTCACATGGTGATTTGGTAGATCCGGCTAACGTTTGATTCTTAGGCACATGACAGCGCCGTGCGAGCAGCGGCATGGTCACACGGCGAAGATTGGCTCATTTCCTCAGAGCAGCATGGTGTTGTAAAGTATTGGCAGCCTACGTTTAACAATGTCAAAGTAGTTCAAGCCCACGGGTTCAATGACGCCGTTCGTGATCTCGCTTTCTCACCCAATGACAGCAAGTTCGTGACCGCATCCGATGATAAAACCCTCAAGATTTTCGATTTCGCTGGAGGCACCGAAGAGTCTGTGCTTACAGGCCACAGTTGGGACGCCAAGACCGTGGACTGGCATCCTTCCAAAGGCCTGCTCGTTTCTGGATCAAAAGATCATGATGTGAAGTTGTGGGATCCGCGGACTGGCAGATGTCTCACTACGCTCCACGGGCATAAGAACACCATCTCGAGGACGAAGTTCGAGCCGAACAGAGGGCAATTGCTCGCTACGGCGGCGCAGGATCAAACAGCTCGTATATTTGACCTACGAATGATGCGGGACATATGCCTCCTCCGAGGTAACCAGGACAAGATCGCGACTTTAGCTTGGCACCCTATCCACAGCTCGTTACTATCCACAGGTGGCGCGGATGGCAGCATATGCCACTTCCTTCTTGACGAACCTAATACACCACCTGGCGTGGCGGCATCGACGTCTCTACCTCCCTACGACAGCGCAGACCCAGCTAGCGCTCCCGCGCAAACGATATATCCAGCCCACTCGATCAAATACGCGCATGACTTTGCGGTCTGGTCCATCGATTGGCACCCTCTGGGCCACATCTTAGCCTCAGGGTCCAATGACCGTGCGACACGTTTCTGGACACGCCCAAGGCCGGGAGAAACGGATTGCTTCAACGACAAATACCACCTGGGCGATGCGGCCACAGAAACGCAAGGAGCCTGGGACCGACGAGGCGGACGAAAGGTGATGCGCGAAGAGGAAGAGCAAGAATTAGAAGACGAGGCGGACGGGCTGCAGGATCAAAAGATGCCCGTCAAGCAGCCTGTCCTGCCTGGTATTCCAGGCCTCAATATGCCCACTAATGGCACAAGTGATGGACCTCCAGCCCGACGATACCCAAACATACCAAACATACCCCCTCCACCTCCTAATCTTCCAAACGGCCTCGCAGGGATGGACCCCGAACAGTTCAAAGCAATGCTTGCAAGCGGAACTCTACCTCCTCCACCTCCGCAGTTTGGCGGTAGCCTACCACCACCGCCTCCGAACTTCGATATGTCGAAACTCCCTCCCGGTCTACTACCGCCAGGCTTCCAGCCACCTCCTGGAATGCCGCTTCCTCCGCCCCCCAGTGGCTTTGGTGGCTTGCCAGGTATCGACACTGATGGATTAGGACCTGGAGCTGGAGGTGTTAGGAGGAGGGGGCCGCTGCCGAGTCAGGAGCAAAGCTTGATGGAGGAGCAAAGGAGAGGGAAATATAGGATCGCGAGATAGGGAGGTTTGGCGTTTGGATGCAATTCAATATGTGGAGTCCTGAAGTGAGCAGCTTCGCGAGGAGGATGTGATCAACGCAGCACCAGGGTGCCAGCTTTAAGCGTGGTCGATACCCGTGTAACCATAGATGGAAGCGCTAAAGAAAAGACTGAAAGATTATGTCTTCCCCTCGTTCCTTGTACAAGTAGCTACGGCGGCCAGTATCTTCGTCCCGACACTAGGTACGGACGGCAGTCGGCACCTTCTCCAGGATCCTAGACTCCTATATACAATTTACGAGTGGAGTCTACTGTGCAACAATACTTCGAAGGAAACGACGACCTGCACTTTGGCAGGAATAGCGGTCTTAGATCTCTTGTCGTTTAACTCTTCATTTCCCCAAAACCTTTACGAGATACGCGTCCCGAAAAGAACACCGTATTTGTTCAAAGGTATCAGTGCTAAGAAACATCCTGTCTTGATTCTCCGAAAGATTGGTCGAAAGAATTTCATTGTTTATCGTTTTCGTTAGAGACTGACCACCCTCCATGGTTTGGTACATCCGCTTCTTGAAATCCCCCAAGCTTGACCAGAAAGGCCATGTCCGAGCCCTCATCACCGTAACCACCGACCTCGGCGATGACTTCTACCCAGCAGATCTTACACTCCACGCCATAATCGTGACGACTGAGTACGAAGAGGATTGGATGCCAGGCTGGCAGACTGTGAAATGGAAAAGCGGCATGCGAACTTTGTGGATCGACATTGTTAATTTAGACGCCGGTCCATCGGTGGATTTGCGGCTTGTTGTGAGTTCGGAACAGAGTAGACAAGGGAACACTCTATTATTAGATAACATTTTTGAGATCCTCAGCGTGTGGAGCGATACATTCGACTGGGAGAAGAGTCAAGCCAGCAATGTGGTTGAGAGGAGGTACAGAACGGACTCGGGCCATGAAAGAGCGGTATTGGAAGAGACTGGCGAAAGTATCGCCCGACATATCTGGTGAGCTCGCTGCTCATGTACTGATTGCTACGGTTCGGTCATCTGACAGACGCTACTAGGGACGCAGGAATCGCATTGACTGCTTTCCTAAGCACACTTGTTCTACAACCAAGGCCGACATCTGATCTCGCCAAGCTCCTCCAGAGAACTACCCCTCGTGGTCTCAGGATACTGGAATTGGGAAGCGGGTGTGGTCTCGTTGGTTTACAAGTTGCGGACCTCTACTCCACAAGTGACGTCCTCTTGACCGATCTACCGGAGGCAATGGATGTTCTGAACCACAATGTCGAACATGCGAGGTTCGTCTCCAACAGGGGTAAAATAGCTACCGCGGTCTTAAACTGGGATGAACCGCTTCCTGAAAGGGTGGCAAAACAGCGGTTGGATCTCGTGATCGTGTCTGATTGCACGTACAACCCCGACAGCATACCCGGGCTTGTAAAGACATTGAGCTCGATCGCCATAAATTCCCCAAATGCTTCGGTTGTCGTCTCCATGAAAGTTCGACATGATAGCGAAGCCATTTTCTTTGAGTTGATGGTAGGTGCCGAGTTTGCTGAGGCTGAGCATACTGCTATTCCGCTACCTGATCGGTATAGAAGCGAGACTGGGCAAGAGTTGGAGGTGGTCGAAGTTTATATGTATCGCAGTCGAAAGTCCGCACAGGATGGGTGGAATGCCGGAAGCAAGACACAAGTTATAACACATGATCAAAGCTAGGTCCCGCGTTTCTCTCCGAGAGGGCAGGCTGCTCGAATTTAGTCCTTCAGCACTTATTTGCTGCTACCACTCTAAACCCGTGTCTTGTACCCGATTTGCTACGAACCATTGCTATGAACGTTTCGTCGCATGTCACGCGCTTCAATTGTTTCCAACGCCGCATGAAAATCTTCACTCTATGCGCCGCGCTTGGTCCATCCGCATGACGTGTTCAAACCTACCGGCAACGACAGTATATGAATTTTTCGTGCTTGGCCCTTGTTTTCTTTCTCTCTCCTATGAAAAAGGTCTGGCATACCGCTATCACGGTGACGCGCCCACTGCTAAGTCATGCTACCTGTTCAGCTCGCCTTACTCAAATCCATTACTATCTCGGCACTTGGTCTGCAGCTTATTCGACCAATATTACCGGCACAGCCCGATTCAGCCGCTGATGTAGCTTTACCAAACGGGCTCCGTGCGGCGGCCAACGCCTCTCACCTATCAAATTCGTCAAGTACTATGCCCCGACAATGGGATGGTACCATTGCGTTGTCACTCCATGAGTTCAACACATCACTCCCGTCCCCTTCATCTAATGACCCATCTCAATTATGGGACGATACATACATCTCAACGTTCAATATTTCCGCTGGACCTCGCCCAGCGCCTGATTTACCTCCTTTACCCCGCGGATGGGGAATCGTGTGCAGTACAGGACTCGGCACCGGCATGAGCCCCTCAAGCTGCTTAGAGGCATGGACACTACTTCCAATCACCAAGAGAATACTTCGTTTTGGGCCTCGCGACGCAGCGAACACGTATGATGTGGGGCTCCCAAAACGGTATTTAAGCTGTAGGTTACGACATCCGTCCATGCCTTTGGTGCCATGCTGACGGTATTGTAAAGCTGATGGTACATGCTATATTGAGCCTATGCAACTGCGCAGTGACATGGTAGCTCACGTAAAGCCGGCTGAAGCAGGCATTGCTGCAGCTTATGTCATTCGCCAGTGTGTGGGTGGCGGTCCAGCACAAGGCGGTGTTACAAATAATCTCGGTAGGTGGCAGTTGCAAGCTCTCGCGCTCGGATCCGGGCGGTCGCCCATTTTGCTGATAATGGACATCCAGGAAGCGGTGATGATCTCGCCGTAAGAGTCGCAAAGTTTGTTCCTGGAGTGGTGTGTAGTGCGCAACCGTACCCGCGTGAAGCCATGGTTCTCAACGCTTGTGGGGCCATTGTGGACCGAATGGAGGCTTCTAAACAAGAAAGAATCTTTGCACAGCAGGATATCCATGACCCGAATCTGGAAGTTTCGCTTCCTGCATACTATTCTGCCCCAGCCGAAGGTAGTACATATCCCATCTCCCCCATCTAATCTACAACAGAGCTACGCTGACGGTCAGTCCGAAAGCCCCGATATGCGTACTCAAAGTTACGGGGAGTCTGCCTCGGCAGTTCGCCAACTGGTATAACATCTGGGAGGCCGCGACTGCCATTACTGCAATGTGCATCAGGGAGGGAAAGGGAGGATACTGGCAGGGGATTGGTAAGTCAAAAGTCGTTTGTTCCAAAGCTTGAGGGGTTGCAAAAGCTGATCTTCTATTAGGGGCAACTGAGAGCCTTGCCGTGAGGATGGGGAAATATTCAGGTTGAAGCTTCTGCTCGTGCGGCTTAGCTCTTCTAAAGCTATATATCTGCTCGTGCGGCTTAGCTCTTCTAAAGCTATATATCTGCTCGTGCGGCTTAGCTCTGCTAAAGCTATATATCTGCGAAACGCCTGGATCCGGCTTGCTAGTACGCGATGGATATAGAGGTTTCATTCACTCCTGTCCTTCCTCTTCACTCCTGACCAACTAGACCTTCGTTCAGACTCTTCGGCACGATCCTGGACAAGTTTCAGGTACTCGTAAATCATGTCCAGTAGCTCAAGTACAGCTTCACCGTTCTCCCCTTGCATGAGATACGGAACGGGACCATACAATGCTCTTGACCTGGCATTCCGCTGTTCCAAGGTCTCTATGCGCTGCTTTTGTTCTTCAACTTCCACGTTGTAACTCTGGTTCAAACGGTCGGCGACATCAGCTTCCTCTAAGATTCTGTACCATACTTCGTAATCGACATAGCGGGTGGCCGACCAATTTGAAAGACCAGCCTGGTAGTGACTTAGTCCCTTGCCTCCATCTGTGTATGCCTGAAGCATTCTGGTCAGGATAACCTCGCTCAGCCAGGCTTGACCGGGTCTCCAACAGGAATAGAGGATGACTTGTTGGAGTCTGAAGTCTGTACCGAATGAGTCAATCATGAGAGCATGGAACAGGTTCATGATGTAATTGGACTGTACATGCTTTGCATGATGACTCTTTAGTCTGTGACTGGGACGTTTGGCGTAGCCTACCTCGGTGAGAGGTCTCGCACATGGAACATGCAGTCGTCCAGCAGCCTCGGACACGGCAATCATCGTCTCCACTTCCCTTACGAAATGAAACAGGATCTCCCTCCTTTTCTCGTCAAGCTTGAAATGTCTATCGGGGTGTTTGGGGTCTCGTGATTTCCAGTCCGTATACCGGCGTAAGCCTTGATGCACGTGATGTTGTAGCCAGTCTTTCTTCGGGAAATGGAGACAATCAATCCTCCAGATCCACACGAGATCGGGGGTGGAAGCCGATAAGTTCAAGTAACGTCTCATGCTCATCATGACGACACGCAATTGTGCCGGGGTCAGAGCCGTGCCCGAATGATCTGTGAAGAAATTTGCATAAGTGCCAGGCGTGAGTTCGTCCCTGGCGGCTATGGATCGCAGTTCCTTCTGCACGATGCTACCTTGGTTCTCCGCCAATGATGCCACGTTCCCGCATATACAAGCTTCCAATAGGAGGGGATCCATGGACCCTAGCATTCGACGACTCCTAATTACCGTTTGCCGGAGCTTCTCCTCTCGTGCTAGCGGTAACCGACCAGCCTTCAAGTCCAGTCGAAGACAATACTCCGTCATTTCGGTGAGACCCTCAGCCTTCCATAGATGCATGAGTTTTTCCTGAAGCTCATTATGGTGATCCTGGAACAACATCGGGAGGTTAGGGATTTCGTTCCACCATGCAATCAGGCTCCAATCGACATATCCAAATGCTTGGCCAGGAGCATAAGCGTCCCGTATTCGGCGTTCCCAGTAGACTAAGGTAAGTTCCAGCATCTTCTTGCTAGGATTTCCTTGCTCTGTATCATGAGCCAGATCTATGGCTGCGCGCCTGAGGGTCCCGCACTTTTTGCCGACATGAACGTAAGGTGTAACAGCCACGTTGCTGTGAGCTTTGAGGTAGACGATGAGCCACAATGTGATGATAAGACCCTTCACAGCATGACCAGTCCTTTGTCGATTGACTTGCTGCAGGATCTCTGTGTTGTTCAGCCTAGACAGACAATCCGTCAAACCGGCAATCGTGTGATGACAAAGAGCGTAAGTGCCAGTCTGCTGATGTAGCTCCTCACAGAAGACAAAGCTGGCTGTGGAAGCGAGCTCTTCTCGCGTGACAGAAGGTAGAGGATGAGATCCAGTGGTGTCCGCGTTGAACTTGTCAAGGTCTTTCATCTTCGGATACGCCGTAACCTGGGTTGATGGATCTGCCTCGTCGTCGGGCTCCGATCCAGGAGCCTCCGATGGTTCCACAGCACCCAGATCGGACTCGTCATCTGAGTCATAGTACTGTGGGTCATCTTCCCTCACCCCTACGTGGGTGATGGCAAGTCGAGCATTGGCTTGCGTCTCTTCAAGGATGTCGTCTACTTCATCATCACCTTTGCGAAATTCTTCAGGCACGGGAAGCTCCGGATGATGCTCTTCGTAGTAATCACGAACCAAAGTCTCGAGTCCGATCATGTCTTCACTCGACTGCCATGTGAGATCGCCAGATGACCAACGAAGTTGGAAAAACGTGTCACCTGTTGCGTTGACGCTCGCGTCGATGACCTTTTCGGGGTCATCTCCGATCTCGTCTCCAACTGGGGCTGGCTGTTGATAGCCGGGAGGTGGAAAGGGCAAATCAGTCTGCTTGACGTACACGATCCTTGGTGGATTCTGCATTTTGTGATTGCTTGTCCCGTCAAAGAAGACGTCAAGCAGATGGAGGGGAATTCACATCAATTGATGTCAAGAAAATTGTCAGGTGCAGCTACTTTACGATGATCGAGTTTTGGCGGAGAGATCGAAAGGCCCAAATATTGGTGATGTAATGACTCTCCAAAACCTCACCTTTTCTCCCAGTGCCGAGTGGAAAACGTGACGAAACAGCAGCCCTCAAAGACACAAGACTTCCAAAGTTGGCATCTTCATGGTTCTTTTCTTCAGAAAAGATTGTCTAGTCACTCAGTGATTACGGCACTCCTCTACGTGGTTCCATCAGCCGATGAACTTCTTGTAGATGCTGAGATTCCTTGAAGTTGCGGTCACGGTGATCAACTCAATCTTCTTCAGCCAGGTCACCTTCCCAGGATTTCCCACCAAAAAGGTATTGAGCTTTCCTCGTTACGCTTCCACACAGCATACTCGTCCTTCCAGGCGCCTGATTGCATCCACACAACCCTCTGTCAGTTCCGTCACTCGATTCTGTTCCCTAGGACATCCTAGCTACTGTGGATCACACTTTACCGCGGTTGCTAGAAGATCATCCTCTCAATCACACTTATCGGTACAGCATGGCGAGTCAGAATCAGCCACCAATTCTCTACGATTGCTATGCTGTGCAGCCAGTTGACATCGTTCACGAACCTCCAATTCTTCAAAAGCTGGTCGTCTCACAAGATCCTACCCCAACCGAGAAACTCCTCATCTCATTGCAGAACATCATCAACCAGTACTCCTTGAGACTCAACGAGGTAACCAAGGTGGACGTGTCTGATAATTTCGACACACTCCAAGATCTGTGTCTGTCCGTCGAAAGGCTCCAAACCGAAGCCCAGTCGTCACTGGACAAACGGAAAGCCGATGTGAAGACGGTAAACAGACAACACGCCGCTTGCGTCACGGTCCTCCATGACACGATCAAGTCCTTTCGACCGGCCAGCGATGTTAGCCCTATCACGAGAAACATCGCTGACTGCTCCAAGGAGATACAGGCACACCTTAGCACTCTGACCTACGCAATTACTGATCTCAAGGACCATGTCGACCAGCTCAACTCCGATTTAGATAGACTTCGCTCGAGAGAGCAACAAGCATGCCTTCATCGCAACCGGAATATCGAGCTCACGGACAAGGTCGTACGCCTGGGGCTCGAAGCAGCGGAACTAAAGGGTACCAAATCTGACCTATACTTGCAACTACAGACCTCTCGCAACAGTGGGACTGTGGGTTAGTGGGTCCATTATGAGGCCATAGCGTTGGTGGCTGTTTGATCAGCCGTTCTGTTGGTACCCTTGTTGGTACCCCTGTTGGTACCCCGGCAAGGGGTTGGGGACAGGTGTCCAGTACGAGCTATATAGCCACCTGTTTTGCACCTATCAACGGCTCTTCATTCGATTTCGTCTCTTTCAGAGCCATATCATTTTTCTTCTTCTTTCATAGTTGAGTCTATACAAATTAGCCTTCATTTAACTATCATAAGCACTATCCAACTACCACAAACACACTTTATACTCTTACATATTTCGTAATAGCCCCCGCCGCTGCTACCAGGTCCAAAAAAGCGGTTAAACGTGTCACCCCCGCCTCCAAAGTCACCAAAAAGACCTCCAACGCAGCCAACAAGGCCAACAAGGCCCCCAAGGCCAAAAAGGCTCCCAAGGCCACCAAGGCCAAAACACCTCCCCCCCGCGAGGACATCCTCGTACACGACACGTCATCGGGTACCATGAGCCCGGACCAGGTGGATGAAACGCCCCCACCTACTATCAAAGTAGATCTTCAAGAATTGATAGCCCAGCTATCCAAGGTCCAAGAGGAGCGAAACAATCGCCATCCTCACGAGGGCAGGGTTCATAAGTCACGCCGCCACCACCGCCGCCACAGCCGCAGTCATCGTCATCGTCACTCGAACACATCGAATTCGGACTTATTCGACTCTAAATCGGACTGGGAGGAAAGAAGAGGGGTTCCCTTTCGTTATATAGAAGATAAGAAGCCCTTTCTTAGTATTGCTAAAAGGTTCCGAAGTGTGAACGTCAAGTACTTCAAACAAATCTTCTTCGGGACCTTTAAGACCAAAAATTTCGCCAAACTAGCTCACATATACACTACCCCGGCCAAGGAGGATAAGGACGTCAATGGCCATAACCACATGATGCACTGCTTCCATGTGTACTCGGTAGCCGCTGGCCGCTTTGCACACGTCAGCGTGAAGGAAGGCTTGAATGAGGCCCTGCATGCGTATGCTATTCGCCTACTACGGCTGCCCATCACCTACAGATTTAACTCCATCCTCGCTTACCACCTCGCCTTTGTTACTGCACGTATTCAGGGTGATTAAGACGATCCTAAGGCCTGGGAAGCGGACGATCAGAGCTGCAGGGACCTTCTCGTGCCCAAAGGGACTTATGCGGGCAATAGCAAGCCAAATCCCGGTGCGCCTAGCCCCAGCAAGGTTGCCACCGGAGGAACTGGAATTTGCAAGAATTTCAACAGAGGTAGCTGTTTTCGCGAGCGCTGCATCTACTCACATGTCTGTATGATCTGTCAGCAAAATCATTCGGCAGATAAGTGCCCCAAGGCCCCAAACCCAGCTGTGAGTAGCTCCAATCATTTGCCACTGGGTAACCGTGTTACCAAGGCAGAATAACTCCCAAGGCACCCGCAGGTGCCCTGGTCGCTGCAGTGCATATCTGAGGGGTTCCCGTACGCGCTGTACGACCCACTAGACCCGGACTTACCCTACCAGGGACCGTTAATAGTTAACGATTAGTTCAAATGGTTGAACGATCACCCGGATCTGATATTTGCCAAGACCATTTCGGCTATTCTTCGGAAGGGCGCTAAGATAGGTTTTCGAGGCCATATCCCAGCCCATCGCAGCCAAAATCACCTATCAGCACGTCAAGCACCTCAAATACTATCGGCGGACCTCCAAAAACAGCTCCAGCAGCATCGCCTAACCGAGGTTGACCCTCAGAACGAGCCCCACTACGTCTGTTCGCCACTCGGTTTAGTACCGAAACACGATGGAGGTTGGAGACGAATTCATGACCTCTCATTCCCACACGGCCACTCAGTTAATGACGGTATCCAGGCGGAGTGGGGCGCATTGGAATATGCTACATACGATGACGCAGTAGTAGCACTGCTGTAGAAAGGCCCAAGGGCCTAATTCGTCAAAAGAGACCTCAAAGACGCCTTCAGACACATACCCGTCGCTATATCGGACCAATGGCTACTTGGTTTCAATTGCGATGGACGCTATTGGAAAGAACGATATCTATCGTTCGAACTACGCATATCACCGTTCCTATTCGATCTCTTCGCAAAGGCCCTTACTTAAATCTTAATCGCGATCCTTCTATAAGAAATAGTGCTCCACTACCTAGACGATTTCTTCGTAATCCTTTTATCAGGTGATAACGCAACTGCATACGCCCAGCAGTTCGACCAGCTATGTGGCGAATTAGGCCTTCGGATTAATCACACGAAGGATGTTGTGGGTTTCATAGCCGAGTTCCTGAGAATCGAATTCGATAGCATTCGCATGCAGGCGAGACTCCCCCCGGACAAGCTGGCCAAGGCGAGAACCACGGCCAAAAACCTCCTAAAAAGGGCAACCATCTCACATCAGGAGCTCGAGTCAGCGGTCGGCTTCCTCTCTTTCGCTGCCAAAGTCGTGATTCCAGAAAGAGCATTCTTAAGGCGACTTTTCGATGCCCTTCGAAGGCCTGCGGTAATCGTACGGATCACAGGCGACATGAGGGCAGACTTACTATGGTGGGACACCTTCCTGGTGTCAGAATATCAGGTATGGTAGAATAAGTAGTGTGTAGATTGCATGAATTCTTCTATCTCAGGACTCCCCTGGGCCAGTATTTGTACCCCTCACAAATTAGGTGGTTGTTCCAACAGGTGGCTGGGAGGAGGCTGGGAACCTTATTTCGACACTCCCCTGTGACCTGCCTCCCCTAGCCCAATCAAAAACATGATGCTATACCCAAATCTGATACCGACAAGCCTTCCTGACCGTCACCGACAAGCCTTCCTGGCCGTCACCGACAAGCCTTCCTTCACCGACAAGCCTTCCTGGCCGTCACCGACAAGCCTTCCTGGCCGTCACCGACAAGCCTTCCTGACCGTTACCGACAAGCCTTCCTGGCCGTCACCGACAAGCCTTCCTGACCGTCACAAGTTAATAAACGCTCCTTCTTCACCTGGTGCCTCTTGATCCTGCTGCTGTAACTCATCCCATTTCCGCTTCCGAGATCTCTTCTCAATGGTCCACCTTTCTTGCAGCCATTCCGGGGCCAATTCCGGGTGCAACTTCCAACAAATATCCGCTTCGTGACCCTTCCCACAGCGAGGACATACCACATCGTTGACGATAGCCTTTCCGCTAGGAGTCCTCTTACTCGGATGCCTGGTTATTGCAACTAGCCCTACTCCCCCAGTGCCCACAGTGCCTATATCCAGGGTCTTTTGACGTCTCTCCTCCTCTAGCAGCATATTCCTCGCTTTATCGGCAGTCATCCCCGGCGTCATAGCCCAAATTTTGGTGAAATACTGAAATCCTTCTGGGAGAGTCATGCCGAGACAGAGAAGAGTCTGTTTATCATCGTCAAGAACCACATTGGTCCCTCGAATACGTTCCTCCAGCGTCTTGATGTGGGTAAGATAGTGAGTCATGGAGTCGAAATCTTCGTACCGGAGCGAGTAGTACTCCCGGGTCAATCGCATGAATTCGGCGTCCCCTTTCGGGGCATAGATATTGGCCAAAGAGTTCATCATAAGGTAGCCATCGTCAAAAGCGTTAGCCTGAAGTTTCTGTTTGACGGGGCCACTTATGGTAGGGGTAATGAGGTCTGCAGCCTCCATTGCTGAATTACGCCATTTGGCTTGGGCCGTGACTGATTTATCGGAATCCGGGGCCTCTTGAGTGTAGTTCCAGAGCTTTTTACCTCTAAGAAGGGCCTTGATATCGATAAGCCATTCAGAGTAGTTGTTGTCCGTAAGCTGACGGATAGGTGACTTGAATGAGGAGGTTTCGGGGTCCATGACTGGCTAGAATAGATGTGGAATAGCGGTGGTATCCTAAGCGTCAAGCCCGGGCTCATAACCTGTCAGAATATCAGGTATGGTAGAATAAGTAGTGTGTAGATTGCATGAATTCTTCTATCTCAGGACTCCCCTGGGCCAGTATTTGTACCCCTCACAAATTAGGTGGTTGTTCCAACAGGTGGCTGGGAGGAGGCTGGGAACCTTATTTCGACACCTGGAGCACTGGAATGGCGTCGCCTTAATACGCCACGTCGATAGTCGAGTCACGTGGCACATATGGACCGATGCGTCTGGAAAATTCGGTATGGGAGGCTACATTCTCGACCATCCCGACCACATTCAATCGATTCAGCTTAAAGACGTTTTCAGCATCAAAACAGCCACACGTCACCGTTCCAAAGATATATAATTCAAAGAAATGAAGGCCGTCCATCACGCGATGGAGCTGTGGCTACATCAGTTGCGAGGATCTCGCTTGATTCTCTACTGCGATAACGACGCATACGTCAATGGATTACGCAAATCCTCCATGCACGGGCCAGCCATAGCCCCATTGCGCGATATAGCTATGCTGGCAGCTACTCACGACATCATAGTAGTGCCCACTTGGATATCTACGAAGGCTAACCAGCTGGCCGATAATCTGTCACGTTTTCGGTACCGAAAAATCGCTAACGCATATCCACAGCTGAAAGGTCTCATGTCTCCGCTGAAATAGGGCGAGACCCACCAGAATATTGGTACAATCAGACCGCATTGCCCCGAGAGGCCGCACGACTTCTCTGATAGGGGCTTGCTACCAAAACCAGGAAGACATATACGACTCCAGCAAGATCCTACACGACCTATTGCGCACTGACAGGGATCCAACCTCCCTTTCCAGCAACTATAAATGCCCTCACGGGCTGGATTGCTGACCTAAGCACTCGCCGCGTCAAGTCGAAGTCTATAAAGGCGTACCTCACCGGCCTCAGGTCAGCCCATGTGGACATGGGGTTCGATGATCTCTCAGTATTTCATCACCCTCAGTTACAACGCATCATTGCAGGTAGTCGACGTCTTCGTGACGAAGCTGACACGAAAGAAAGGCGTCCAATCACCAAGGATCTATTGCTTCAAATCCTTCCTCATTTCGATAAGTCAACCCATACTGGGGCGACTCTATATGCCTCCTTTTGCCTCGCCTTCGCGGCATTCCTACGCGTAGGTGAGTTTACTTACAGCAAGCGAGACCTTCAACAGAAGGACTTCGGCGAATGATTCCTCACACGTCGCTCGGTGAGGCTGTTCGATGATCACCTGAAACTTACGCTTCCAGCGTCCAAAACGGACCCATTTCGCCGTGGGATTACACTCACGGTGGCCGTATCAGGCGATAACGCATGCGCAGTCAAAGCCTTACGTCACCTTTTCAGATGGGAAGCCCCACCTAATACACCGCTATTCCAGCTGAGGGGCTCCTCCTTCACTAGGGAGGCCGTTACCAGCAACCTCCGCGAGGTGCTGACGTCACTTGATATTGAGGGCCATTATTCAGGCCATTCCTTCCGCAGAGGGGCTGTAACATTAGCACGTGACGCCGGCCTTAGCAATGACGAGATCCAATTGCTAGGCCGTTAAAAGTCAGATTCCTACCGCCTATATATAGTCACTCACCCAGCCTATATACTCAGAGCATCACTACGGTATCAGCACCTTCCAGCCCGTCCGCGCTAGTGCTGTCGGTCCCTACTACTTACTGCGGTAGGTATCATCAGGAGTTCTCCTCGAGACCTTCACCCTCTTTAAACGACGTCTTAGGCTGTTTGGGAGTTTTCTAGCGCTGGGGGGCCTTTTCTAGACTATTTGCATATCCAAAAAGGTCTTAGCTACCCCAGTGTTGGATATACCCAATCATCTATCTACATATCTACTTGTGCATACGTTATTTTGTGTATAGCCTCACTATTTACAAGCACTAATCGCAATAGTGGGACTATGGGTTAGTGGGTCCATTATAAGGCCATAGCGTTGGTGGCTATTTGATCAGCCGTTCTGTTGGTACCCTTGTTGGTACCCCTGTTGATACCCCGGCAAGGGGTTGGGGACAGATATCCAGTACGAGCTATATAGCCACCTGTTTTGCACCTATCAACGGCTCTTCATTCGATTTCGTCTCTTTCAGAGCCATATCATTTTTCTCCCACCCACCCACACCTGTATATAGCCTCATTTCACTCCAGGGCATGTCGCTCAGACATGGGAGTTTTCTAGCGCTGGGGGGCCTTTTTTGGACTATTTGCATGTCCAAAAAGGTCTTAGCTGCCCCAGTGTTGGATATGCCCAATCATCTATCTACATATCTACTTGTGCATGCGTTGTTTTGTGTATGGCCTCACTGTTTGCGAGCACTAACGAACACATGCGGGACAAACTCGAGAAGCAATTCCCAGAAATCATCGAGCAGCTGACCAATAATCAAAAGACGACAGTCGAACACTATGAGAAGGAACTTCGCCTGGCACTAGATCACCGGTTTGAGTTCCTACAGACCTCCGTTGTCGATCTCAACGCGAGGATTGCTACAAAGGATCTCGAAAACTTTCAACTGAAGAATCAGCTGGATCAAGCTTCCACTGTGGCAGAGAAGCTGAGAACAAGTGAAGAAGAGTACAAACAGCAAACGCTCGAAGTGCGCAACCAGCTCTCCACCTTCGAAGAGCAGTCCAACCATAAAGTCCTTCAACTCCGCAATCAGCTGTCCGCTCTTGCAGAGCAGTCCACACAAGAAAGGACTAAATTGCGCAACCAGGTCACCCAGGATTCCTCCGATGCGCACGAGCTGAGAATCTGTAACGCCGAGCTCCACCATCAGCTCTCCCAATATTCCATCGCTGCAGAGTCGTTCTCGTCATTTAACAATGAGCTCCTCAACCAATTGGACCAGACCATCACTGTTCTATCTGAGTTGAAAACAGAGAGGCTTGAGCTCCGCAAGCAGCAATCGCACGATGCAGAGCTGTCCACGATGCTCAGCGCCCGACTTCAGCAGGCTTCCGAAGACACAGAGTTGCTCCGAGTACGAAACACTGAGCTCGACGCCCGACTCCAGCAGACCTCCAAAGACGGAGAGCTGCTCAAAGTACGGAACACCGATCTCGACACCCGGTTCCAGCAGGCTTTCGAAGACATAGAGCTGCTCCGAGCACGAAACACCCAGCTCAGCATCAACCTCCAGCAGTCTGCCCACGATGCAATGCAGCTAAGCACCCGCGACGATGACCTCAGCATCCAACGTTTTCAATACTCGAATGAGCCAAACTCACCACCTCCCTTTCCGGGACATACCACCACGCCAGCTAGGCGCACATCTCTCGCCGCGTTCTCCCCCGACAACCTCGTCTCCAAGAAAAGGGTTATCGGTAAGCGTGCGTCGAAAGGCCAAGGGAGTCGAGCCTCGATCGACAGTGACAGTACACAGTCACGTTCTCCAAGCGAAGTATCCCTTGTCTCTGAACCTTCCCTTCAACGGCCTATGGTTGTCACGACTCACGCATCCTATCCGCGGGATGCAACCACCATTGGCTGTGTTCGCATTGACGCACAGGATGTGGAACAAGGAAGATGGGCCCCTGGCGTGTCCGGAGACCTCCAAGAGCTGATCAAGGATTATTTGAAGTGGGCTGAGGGACGGAAAAAGAGTCATCTCCGCCCAAAGGTGGATCAGTTGAAACTATCCGATATACAATGTCACTGGCATGAGCTCGCGCGTCATGATCGACAACGGGTCTGTGAATGGGAAAGGAATGCAGATGGGGGCAAAGATTGCTATCATGCTTGCTTGTGTTGCGAGTCTCGTGGGCAGCTTTGCTGTATTCTGGAGAGCCAAAATATGTTGGTGTTGCTGCCATTGTTGCCCTCTTCCCGGCACGACAAACGGCACGACCTGGGTCCTGGTCACCGTTCTTACTGGGTAAATGATGTTCATTAGGAAGCTGGGCTTATTTCATGTATATTGCATGTATACCAATCAATATAGCTGATTACGCTTGACAATTAAACGTAGCCTGCGAAGCAAAACCATCATCAACAAGTCATACTTTTACTCCAACAACATGCATTGTCACACCCTTGCGCACTGCCTTTCCCACTGAATGTCTGATATACAGGCGGAGAATTCACGAAAACACGTTAATTCTACTTTCCATTTCATAGACCGGCTTTTGCACCGATGTATTGCATACTCTCGATCTGAATCAACCCTTCGATCTGAGCTACCCAACGATTTCAACCGCTAGGCCATTCTCAGGAGGGATTCCGTCATCCGGGATTGGAGAGACAGAAACTCACTTTCTAATCACCTCCTTCACCTTACCACAACAACTCTCTGTCGTACAATATACTACGTTCTTTCTCGTTGCTTCCCAAGTCTCTTCTAGACAGCACAGACCATACGATCTTTACCAACCTTCCGTGTCGTTGCGAGTAAAGATCTTGTTTACTGACTCTACGAGCACACCAGGCGGTCCAAACGCTCTTAGACGTTTCTTGTCCACATCATGCCTCTGAGACGGGAAAAACAAGACACGCATCTATTGAAGAATCTGAAGGGTGAGAGCACAATGACGAACATATCGATCGTTCGTGCTGCGCAGGACGAGCAGATCAAGTCGAGCAAGCCGGTACAAAAAAGCGGTGAGAAGGAGGACAACGACTACGTTTTCCGTTCGTATGTTTCCCTGTCAACCACTACGTTTTTTCCATCACTTCCTACTTCGAAGCCCGCAAAGTTACCATGCTAAATGATAATCAGACGTCTCAAATTCAAATCCCGGGCCATTGGTTCCAACATCGCCGAAATACACCGCCAAATTTTTGCAAAATCTGCTGTCGGGCAGAAGGTCCTGGAGCTCTTCGGAGCCACGACTGCAGACGACAAGTTTGACGATCTGACCCGCAGGCTGGAAGAAGCCACCAAGCAGAACCAGGTTTTGAAAGCCTTCTGCGATACCAAGACACATGAAAAGGACGACACGATAGCCGTTCTCCAAACTCAGATAGGAGAAGGCCAGGTTGAGATTGTCCAACTCGGTTTGCATATCACCCAGCTCGAATTGGACTTCAGGTGTAAGGAACGAAGTCTTCAAAGCAAAGCGGAAAATCTCCAAAACCGCCTGGATGACGTGTTCCGCGCATCTCAGATTCTCGAAAAGTCATTGGATGACCTGCAATCCGATAAATCTGAGCTTCAAGGCAGCCAGCAGGCTTTAGAGTATGGCATGTCTGACCTTCGAACGCATGCTTCATCAGACTTCCCCAGGTTCACCCTGTCGCAATACAATATTCACTCTCGCATTCAGTTCCTATACGGGAAGTCCAAGGCCATCGTCGACTTCGAAAGGAGTCGGTTCTACAACAAGAAGCCGCTGGCGATTCTACGGGTACACGACGTCCCCAGAATCCTCGTCTCCCACATCAGATCCTTGGACCATGGTGCCTACCCAGTAGACTCGGATGTTGAATTGTTGTTCATGGAGCTGTGGTCGATGTGGGAGGACCCCGCCAGCATGTCTATAGGTGACAAAGAGACTCTGTTCTGGCCGTTGTATGAGTTTTGTTGGATAGTCATCAAACATCACAACAAGCCTTGTACGCCTCTCCACCAGTGGGTTATCTTACAGCTCATCACCGCGCTCGTCGTTTACGGTTTCTCGGATGGTGTCTCCGACGACCTTGATGAGGCCATGGCCAATATTCTGCAACTCCAAACCCAAAGTCTAACGAAATTCGGCCAGATGGGGCTCGAACATCTACGAAGGACTATCGACCACCGATTGCGTTTCGTACATCCCCTCTACCCACTCCATCTCACGGCACCCTTTGCCTCAGAGCCGCACTGCACAAGGCAATTCCAATGTGAGGATGTTCGAAACGAGGAGAGATGGCATGCCAGTTGTACCTTCTTCGAAGAAGACTCTTTCCATCTTGTGCTATATAGCAGCAACGGGGACGTTACTATGAGGCCTGTGGTTATCTTTAATGGCGAGGCTAGAAGGGTTGGCTTTGTGGGGCGCGGCGCTCATCCGTATTTGCTGGTCTCGGTCAAAGAGGGATTGAAGATCTGGAAGGTGGTTCCGACAGATGCGAGAGATTTCCTGGAGTGGTCAGAGACGAGAAACATTGATGTGACGCAGGAGTTGCTCTCAGTCATCGACGAACAGATAGCGCACCATCCATAGTACTTAAGGCTCGAAACCTGCTTTCAAGATTTCCTCTTGGGACTCGCACTGGTCAACATCTTTCTTGGAATCTGCTACTGCACTATGTGTTATAGCTACTCCGCAGGTGGCAAATTAGCATAGGCTTCACATGGTATATAAGTAGCCTACATACCACTCCATAGCTACTCAATCCTTAATCCTCCATCACATCCAACAATCTTTCTTGACGTAACTCACGTAGCGCGAGCGTAAAATGACGCTCTGTTGGAGAGGAAAGGTGTAGAGAAAGTTAAGATATGCATGGCACCATGTGGGAAAAGCTTTAATTTTTATCAACACCGAAGACATTGCTCGTATCAGTACAGAAGAAAGTTGCGGTTACGAGTTATAGGAACAATTTTCAATGGGAATGTAGCTTACCAAGATTGAATTCTCTTGGAAGTAGATATGTGACTTTTGGGTCCAAACGGTTCGTACCGAATGTTCTATGTCCTGTACCCGCAGGCGTGTCGAAAAGCGCATCCTGACAAGTTCTTTGGGAAGAGGCCTTGGATGGTCTAGGATCGCAGTCGAGGGAAGGCTCGTAACTCCTGATGTAAATCATGAGATCACCGAGACGACCTAGCATAAAAGGTACGGCACCTGTCAGCTTACAGCACGACCTGAGGTAACAGATCTTTCATCTCATCATGTAGACGTCGCCGCGTGAATGACGATCAGCTACGAGCTCTGAACAGTATTTCAATGCCATAAAACGTAGGGATTACCGACCGAAAGAAGCAATCCTACCACCCCTTTGTCGTTGGAGCACACAGTGGTCAAGGATCATCTCAGCATGCGCCGAGATTGCACGAGCGGTGCTGAAATCTTCGATGGAGTCTTTGTTGAAAAGGAGATCAATGGCACAGATTCCATCGTCGCTCAGATAACGAATGGGTATTGGCACGTTGTCGATTGAAGCTCGATTTCGAGGGACAAACTTTTCGACCGTTGTGGAGACGCGATCGATTTTGTCCCAGGCATTGCGGCAACTGTCCTCTTTCATGTCACGACCGTAAGCTAAGCTGCAGTATGGTTGATTTGCTGTCAGGCTCGCAAATGTCCCGTTGAGGTGATTGTTGGTGTAAGTTGAGTTCTGGAAGATTGGGATCGAGAGGGGAAGAGAGAATGCAATGCCCGAAGTGGCATATACCAACGGAAGAACGCTGTTTGATGAAGACCACATCTAAATCCCAGAACATTAGTCATCGGGCAGCTAGCTGATGATATCGTACTTATAATAGCGCTGAATGCTAGACATCCGTAACATGGTGACACCGATGGGACCGAGTACTGAGCGCACACGCGCCATATGCGACCCGCGAGACAGGCTCACAGGCAGCAGATGCGCAAAGTACTCTAATTATGTCGGGCAGTCGGATCCGGCATCATGCGCCTCTAAGCGCAGTAAGTCATGGCGCAGGAGTCAGCTTTCGCCGACCCTCTTCATTTGAGATAGCCGGAGCCAAAGATCGCAAGCGTCTCAGACACAATTTCCAACGAGACAAAGTCTCTCCCTGACAGCCATTCCAAGATTCCTTCCCCTTGACGCCTGGAAAACCCTTGACAGCGCTGCTAAAGCGCAAGGGACCTGAGGCTTAGATATCGCTGAAACGACCGTGGCATTGGACTATGCATTACATACAGCAATCGCATCTACAACTTTCGTCTGGACCTGGCCCAAATAACTCCGCCGCTGTTTCTGCCCGTCGCTCCCCTGCTTTCCCCAGTACGCATCGAAATCCCTACTCAAGCATACTTTAACAGCATCACCATACCTTATGCCGGTATACCGGTTCAGGTCCGTGATCGGACCACTCGTAACAATTTTCTCAATGAAATGTGGATCCGACCTATGTGTCTGAAGAGAAGGTCGCGGGCCGCTGGATTGCTTCTGTTGGGCAACATTGCGCCATAAGCCGATCTCGTAAAGCATGACGCCCATGCTGTATATATCGAAGGGTGGCTGGAATGATTGGGCGTCTGGGCCTTTGTAATCCGGATGGCGATAGAGATCATCCTATGGGCGAGATAGAGGCTTTTCCTTATACTTCGCCTGGTTGATGGGGTCGCGAAATGTCAAATCCCATAAGGTAAGGGTTTCGGAAGCCAGGCTCATTTCTCGTGTTCGATTTCGGCCAGAATAAAATGTTCTCAGGGTTAATGTTCTTATGTATCCAGCCAACAGTGTGAAATCCGAAGATAGTAAAAATAAGGGCCTTAGCCAAGTCGCAACGTTCCCCCAGGTCTGGGTTATTATTCGGCTTAGTTACACGTGTCAAGACTTCATGAAGCGTTATAGGGGTGTGACTGGGTTAAGTATCTTGCGGTATACGGAAGGTATAGCCTGTGATACTGATGTTTTAGTCCAAATAGCCGATATAGTATAAAATCGAGATACCTAGCGGTCTCAGGTCCATATTTAGGATCTTTGTTAAATATTCAATCCTCCGCCGAAACGCAGCAGGATTCTCCCGGCGCTGAGTGTTATCCTGGCAGCCGCGCCGGTCGATGATGATGTTTTCCTGTCCCAATTTCGCCATCGCGCGCACTTGGTCTGTTTGATAGAGTAGACCCTGGTACTGCAGTTGTCCCATCTCAAGACGGAGTTCTGACACTGGTTCTGGACTCATGGTATCCGGTTGATGCGTATGCTCACTGCGACTTCCGTGTTAAAGGACGTTGCGTGCGCTCGCCATTCGCTCAGAATCTTTGTCCTGGAACAGACGATACTCCGATGTTTGCTTCGGAGTCACGGTATCCGGTTGATGGAGAGGCTCACTGCGGTAGCCTTGCTCAATCAAGGCTCTGACGTTAGCCATTCTTTCAAGATCTTGATGTTTCAATAGGGCTGTTGCTGCTTCCAGGTACTGAAGCTGCGTACTGTCGCCAGTGGAAAGGTAAGTCCTGAGTCGGCGACGCGATGACTCTTGATCCAGTCGAAAGTCGTCTTGTCAAAATCGCCATTCCAATAGTTGAGTTGTCTGATGAGGTGCTTTGGGTAATCATGCCTCGATGATTGCTGCTGCGCGTACGCTTGGGCATGTGCTCCATTTTCCTGCTGCCACTGCTGCAATGCAGCGGCCGAGACAGAATGGACGGCCTGAGATTCAGCAAATTGTGAGCTTGGACGGAATGGCGACAGTTGTCTATAACCATCTGCGGCTGGCGAGGCAGACTTCGCGGTCAAATGCCCGGTATTGGCCATTTGGATGACATCCGACAAAGCACTCCTTTGCGATGACACGACGGTCTCTTGCGGCTGTTGTTGGGCTTGTTGCTGCGCATCCATCTGTGCATTGCTGGCTATGAAGTCTTCAAAGGTCTCAACTCTCCTCTTTGTCTTTACCTCAGTGAGAGAGAAGAGAGACCTGTGTGCGTGTGAGTCGCGCGGCCTCTTGGTAAGGCAATCGGGCACAGAAGCCGTATTCTCTTCGTCATGGTACTGGGCAACATGTCTCTTCATAGCGGCTCGAGTATTAAAAGTGAAGCCGAAGAATCCACATGCCGCATCTGCACACTGGAACCTGGGAGCATGGCTTTCTTCGTGTTTCTGGCGAAGTTCCGGGGTGTTGAATCCTTGTGCAGCTCTTGGACATTTGCAATAGCGGCAGAGAAAAGTACCAGAACTATGCCTTACTTTGAAGTCGTACAAGCTTGTGTTGGCAACATGCTCACTTTCCAAGATCTCTTCCACAACAGTCTGATACCGCCTTCGAATCATGGAGAATAGCGTGGGATCTGGATGGGTGTGCGAGTCCGCTGTGTGGAAGCTCAGTATCGAACGAATGCAGATGTTGTGGTGTCAGAGACTTACGATGAGATCCTGCGGTCAAGCCATCGTTCACAGAGGTGTCCTTTCGGTAGACTAGTGTTCTATCAAGCAAAGTCCTAGCGGCAGGCGAGATTTGCAGAGGGTGCCAAATGTCCTCCGTGGGTGAATGTGACAGATGATTTTCGTCTCGGATCATCCACCTTTTTGTAGCCGCCAGCTCGTTGTGCATGACTGTAAGTCGCTCAAGAGCTTGGTGCAAGGCTATCAAGTTCGGCTCGCCAAGACGAGAACCTGCCGATGAATCTACCAACTCTCGTAGATGATCAAGCCAATGGTCATTTGCGTATAGATGTAGGTCGTGAAAGCCCTGGGCAATATCTGACCGCATTTTATCATCCGAAACCCGAGGATCAAACATGTCAAGACTAGATGATAAGTAAAGAACACAAGATAGCGATACGGTGAGCTGGGCTCGTTGAAATTGGAAGAATGGAGATATTTCAGACTTTCGTAGGTACCTTCAAGCAACAATTAGCAGTGTTTCCGGCCCAGTGAGGAGCCGATAAGCACTGACTCTTGAGCAGTGAAATGAATGAAACTAATAGGACCTCCAAGATCATCTTCCGTGTCGAGAAGGGGGTGGCAGAGACTCAGCACGTCACCTCGAGGTCTAGTTGCTGTCGTGATTTGTGATACTCGTTCGTCTAGGACAATTCCGCTCTCCAATTCATATCTTTTCAGCGGACGCTGAGCCACCAGTAGCCATTGTAGAATCCGGATGGTAGTGCGTTGGTTGGGTGTCCTCCCGTCGCCGCAGATCCGTGGGAATATTCTCTTGTACCTTAGAATAATCAGCTGCGTCTGAGCCACTCAAACAGTCGGCGGATATACACAGCTTCTAGGTCCTCTGGGAGAGTTTCAATAGCCTCCCGTACGTCTGACTCAAAATGTAGGTCCTCCAAGGTGAACATTATCAATTTTACCCAGAGGAACATCCCTAGAAGAGATTACAATTTGGCCATGAATGGGTTGGGAAGGACCAACCGTTAGCCTTAGCTAACAACTGGCGTCCTAGCTCGTCGATGATATTGGAACCGAATTTATTCCGTAGATACTGAAGCCGGGGCTGAACGAAGGACGCAATAGTAGCATTGACGTTCTCAGCGTTGTCGTCGAGCCGGACGGTAGGTTTTGATTGCAACAATCTGGATATAGTGCGGTGTTTCCTGCTCGAAAGCAAGACTTTACACGCCCCTGGTACTGGACCCCGGATTCTCAGCAGATCCTCTATGACTTCATCTTGCTCATCCTGTGGACATTCATCGAGCCCATCAACGACAATTCGAATGTTTTGCAGTGAGGCGATCATCTTCTCAAGTATTATCGCCAAACTTTTCTTCGTGGCTCTCTGGCCATTGTTCGCAAAAGTCTCCAGTATATAAGGCGCAAGGCCAGTACTCGCTGCTAACAATTGGGTCGCAAAGCTACGGAGAACCTCCGTCGCATGGTTCCGAAAAGTCTGATTATGAGTGAAGAAGTAAAAAATGGCAACGGTCTTCATCTTTTCTTGGATGTGTTCTATGAGCTTGGAGCATATAACGCTTTTACCTGCATTCAGAATCAGTGTGGGAATAGTGTATTAATAGATACGAGATGGATGATCAACATGATTTTCGCTACCTAGAAATGCGCTAAACTGCGGTAGGACTCTCTCACCTGCTCCAGGTTTCCCGTTAAGCCAAAGCACTGAGTTATCGCGATTTTGATCCAACCAGGAGACAACGATGGGGTTTTCCAGAGCCCAATGACCGTCCGTACCATTGCATGATCTGGAATACTTCGTATAATAGTCTTCCTGGTCTTCGCTTGCACCAAACCATGCGACTGCCTCTCTGGTCTGTGAGGCCAATCTTTCTCGTTCTGTTCTGTCTATATCGTGGGCACGTTCAGCGCGCCATTGCCTAATTTGATCTAGTTGCATGGTCCTCCAGGTTTTAGCTTCGGCAATATTGATCGCATTGGCCTCCTGGTCAATCAAATCCCGGTGCTTCCTGAGACTTTCCAGTATCCCATTAAACCGGAGGTTGAAAGACCTCCACAAAGGGTCAAAAACCGATTTCCACGCTATTTCGGTAACGGACAGTCAATTAGTACACCACCAGTACTCTACAGGTAAAGGGGATGACTTCTCACTAACAACGCCGACGGAAGAACATGTATGCTCTTCGATGAAATTCTAGGATATCCCCATAGAAGTGACCCATGACCTGCTGAAATTCTGGGTCATCTCTGAATGCGGTAGAGAGTCTATCAAAACGCGGCATTGCCTCTCCGATCATCGCGTAGGCATCAATGAGTTTCTCTAGAGCTGAGATGTGGTCTTGAGCGATCTATAGTAGCATTAGAGCCATCTGAGAGACGCTGGAATATTTATTTCTCTGACCTGTAGTAGAAGCTTAATGGGCGCCTGGGTTGGAGTCAGCTTGATAGATGATGGGTTTGGGACGATTTACCCATATGTATGGCAAATAGGGTGTTCCCTGACAGAGGACCTCCACCACCTTCGAGTACTGTTCGATGCCAGCCAAGAATGGCTGTATGCGATGGAAGCCTCGAAGGGATCTACGTGACTCGAGGTGGCGTTCAATGTCCCTCGCAGTCGTCCAAACATCCTCCATCCTAGTTGAATTGAAAGACCGCGCATCATCTTTGCTCACGATCTCCTTCAAACGTTCGAATGCGGTATTGAATGCCACAGGTGGCGTGATAGTGGATGCTGAGGCCATCGCGAACCCAGCGAGTATGTGAAGTCAGTCCCAGTCGGCGAGGCCGAGGACACGCCAAGAAATTCTTCGCAAAGGATGCAGATAGTTATGATGAACTTGGAAAATGATAAGTCGCTCGCATCCATTCTCGCTTTTGTAACGGCATGAACGATCTATCTCTTGTCGCTATTTTTTCAAGTGAACACAGCAAGTGTCTGAGCGAAGTGTGCCTGGTACAGGTTGCAGGGCTGTGGCCCAAGGCTACAGTCGCCCCACGGCTGCAGGGCGTTGCCCCTGGGGCTATGCGCTGACACATTTCCGGTTGCTTCCCAGCCAATCGAAGTTGGATGGTGGCGAACCGAACACTGCGCGGAATTCTTTGAAAGCTCTCATGGTACTCCGGAGTACCTATGATGATTCATGTGTGGAAAGTGCCTGCTTTATTGATAGAGTAGATGTTTTGTAAGTAGGTCTGCCGTCACAACACTCACGGGAGCCTCAGAGGATGGATTCCAGGGAGCCTGACCATTGGCCGCGCAAAAGAATCCGCCTAGAGTCTACCTTTCAATCTCGAATCATATCATACAGCTCTTCTCAAGATCGCACACTTGATGAAGGTCGTGATCATGGCGTCTACACTCAAGTGCTGCCGAGGTTGAACCTTGAGGAAGCGGGAAACATCAATCCATCCATCTCGACATACGAAACGCACCATCACTTGACTGTGGACCACCAATCCACCCAGTACACGAGATTGGATCATCGAGGTACAATAAGGCCTGAAGGCAACATAAGCTCCTTGCCTTTGGCTTTGTCTGCTGCTGCTGGAACCGCGTCTGACAGCAATGATGGGCTCTCCAACAGAGACCCTACCGACCAGGTGTGCTTTGGCATGGTACGTTCTACTCCTTGAGAAGGCTCCGCGGTATAATCCTGGCAGAACAATGACTCAGAAGTGTCCAGCTTGATAACATTCCTGTTCACCAACTGAAATCCAACTCTTTGGACACCGCTAGCTTTCCGGTCTATCTGGATACGGGTTCCGAGGCTTTACAACTCCAAAAGTCATGTGGAACGGTTGTTGGCAGACTCAATCCGCGTCACTCCAAATTGATTAGAGTTCTTTACGATGGAGAGAGCATTGAATTGCAAGCACTCTTCGTTCCATCGCCTTCCCGACATGCTTGGACTAGGCTATCAAAACCAACAGGCCGAAAGCCAGAACGGCTGCAAGCTAGATTTCCAACCCTTTCTGTAATCGTGTATGGATCCATGGATATGTTTGAATCGACTGGCAATTTCCTGTCACGGTGTTCGGAATATCTGCAATCTCCCTTGTGTTGCGATCGTGACGTTCCATATTGTAACCCTCAAAGCCTCGTTGGGAGAAACAAGGATCCACAGATGACCTTCAAGCTCCAAGGGGATTTACCGCTTTCCCAGGTGGAGACCATGACACGAGGTGCTGATCCATCTGCCGTGCTAGAGACCGAGGACTCTAACCCAGAGACGGGGGCGCCAGCTGCGGTGAAGTCCTCTCTTTATAGGTCTGTTTCTCCACAATGGCGATATTCAAAGTCTGATTGTAGATGCCAAAACTCTTTGCTGATCGTAGGTAGTCATCAAAAGCGAGCATTATCATTCATGCTTATGAGGGAACGGGGTATGCGGCCGTTCATCAAACAGCAGGAACAGTGGAGAGCTATTTTTGACGAGAGTGATAGCATCACTAAGTAGGCGCTTACCTGATCTTGCCCATTGGCCTTTAGATAGGAAGCTAACCAGGTTCAAGGCATTTGAACACAGCGACAGGAGAGGTCTGCGACATCCGCCCGGTTGAAGTCCGAGGAGGAGTCTTAGCGGACTCAATGGGACTAGGCAAATCCTTGAGTATAATCAGCTTATTGGCGACCGATTGGCCGCATCACAATATGGGCTCGCTAGAATTATCTCCTACACTTCTAGTCGTACCGCCGTCCCTGCTTCGAACATGGGAAGAGGAGTTAAGGAGACATCTTCATCCAGGAACCCTTCGCCATTGGCTATATCATGGACGAAAACGCTCGGAAGATATGAGCTCGATGCTTGCGCACGACATAGTGATTACAACCTACGAAGTGGTCGCTACCGAATGGAAGAGCCTCGAGAAGGGACCGAGGCCCCTTTTTTCCATTAATTGGCGCCGGATCGTCTTGGATGAAGGCAAGCCACTGTGTCTCCAGACCATAGAACAGGCTAACGCAAGCTATCTAGCCCATGAGATCCGTGTAGGTACCACCTTGAGGGCGAAAGCCATCTGCGCTCTTCGAGGACACATACGCTGGGTTTCAACCGGGACCCCCATACAAAATCGATGGGAAGACCTCGCCAGCTTACTCAAATTCCTCAGGGTCTACCCAGATCAAGACCTGAGATCGCTCACGACAATGTTGAGACGGAATGCAGTCAATTCGAACTTGAGAAGCATTCTTGCGCCGTTATGTCTTCGCCGATCCAAACAGGCAATAGACCTGCCAAGTCGAACGGACAGAACCCATAAAGTAGACTTCGACGCCGAGGAGGCTACTCATTATAACAGCATCAACATTCGCGTTACGGGGTTTCTTGAACAACAAGCCGGGCAGACCAGCTTAGGGTCGTACTCTAATATCTTGACCAAAATCAATTCACTGAGACAGATATGCAATCTCGGTACGTACTACCAAGGCGATATAGGAGCGCTCGAGACTCAGGTTACCGCGATGCAAGAGGTTTTTGACGGGATGATATCCACTGGGGCCGCCGTGTGCTGCAAATGCGATAGAGATTTGTCAAAAGGGGACGAGAACAACGAATCGCGAATTGGTGGCACGGATGGCATCGAGTCCAAAACACGGATAGCTACATGCGGTGAAATCATCTGTGCTTCTTGCTTCGCCCTCTCCGAAATAGTCAAGTGCCCCAGCGATGGAAGATGCCAACATCAGAGCTCGTGTGAGCTTTTTACGGTGAGCTCATCCGGCTCATTCGGCCTTCCGGCAATTCAATCCAACTCCCGATTACCGGTAAAAATGAGGGCACTCCAAGAAGATCTCTTGGCCTTACCAGAGACGGACAAGAGGTAATGTCCCAAACCGCAGAGTTTTACCCCTTTCTCACTCGTCTACCAGTATCGTTTTCTCGTTTTGGACTACCACCTTGGATCTTGCCGGACTGGCGTTGGACCAAGTCCACTTACCCTACACTCGTGTTGATGGTACGATGCTTGCCAAGCAAAGACAGCTGGCGCTTGAAAGCTTTGTCGAGGAACCTCGTATCCGTACCATTCTCATTTCGCTGCGCTGTGGTTCGACCGGGTACGTGAAGCGTCTTAATCTACGCAAGATGCCTTCTCCACTGACAATGTAAGGCTGAATCTGACGGCCGCAAACCATGTCTTCCTCATGGAACCACAATGGAACCCCATGGTCGAGGACCAGGCTTTCGATCGCGTGCATAGGATTGGGCAGAAAAAGGATGTCACGACTGTTCGCTATATTGTGAAAAATACTCTAGAGGAGGTAGGCTAAGAGCAGTATCATGGTCTCATACCTGCAACGAAGGAGCTGACATTCGCGTAGAGCATTCGCCATCAGCAGTCGAAGAAGAGAAATCTAGCCGAGCAAGCATTTGCTCTGGCCAAAGGTCACAATGATTGGATCGAGGTCAGTAACAATAAGGAAAACTGTAACAGATCGTCGTTGATTGAGATGAGTAGCGCATCCGGGCAATGCTCTCTGCCGTGCCCTAAAGTCCATATTCAATACCTGGCCTAACATACCCGTCGCTGATGAACGATTCCCTCTCACGCACGGCCCATTCCTCTTAGAGAATCTTATCGACATTCAAGACATATGAGTGGTAGATGGCGGCAAATGAAATCCGGGCCTACGATATGTGAGTGCCTACTAATATTATCGATCGCTTCCTTTACTCGAAACATGTCTACTTCTCCAGAGAGGACCGTCACTTGAGCGCAGCCCATGGTAACCTTGCCGGCTACCCAATAACATTGTACGCAGCGCTCCCAATGATCCGCCCCCCAGTTTCTGGACCATGAGAGGAATCCGGAAAGGTCTAACCAATAGTGCACGGGCCGATCCCAGGCTATACGTAACCAATTTGAGCTCATCCGAGGCGTGAGGACTACTATTCAGGACCATCAGTCTAAGATCTATCCTTTGAGACCAGTTTTGCCCGTCGAGACTTAGTTTCAGGGCTTTCAAACATGCTGGTGGACATGTATCGCAATGTTTGGGAATGGCAATCCTGTATCCTGCTGCTGCACAGGTCGAGCGTGTAAATACTACATGACGGACAGAGAAAACGGTCGCACGGAGCTGGTCCGACCGGCCCTGCGTGATTCCCAACAAGCGGGAAACCCCACGTGGTCATGAGAGACCCGGACGCCCCGAGTAGCTTCGAACCGAACCTATCATTGATGAGTGCTACGGGGCTCTCACTGTGGGCACGTTGCCCGTGCAGAAATTTACGCGTCAGGCTTGTTTATGTTGTAACGTACATTATTGTTACAATTGAAGTGATCACTACGCTATCTAATCTTGCTCTAATGACGTTTCTGTCTAAGATAAAGTTCTCTCTCGTCACGATCCTGTGATGCCAACGGACATGGATGAGGAGAGGAGCAGTAACCGAAGAGGTCTATCAATGTAGGACAGCAGTTCCCTACCAGTGCCATCAGCAGCAATCCGAATATCTTGCAGCCATCTTCCCTCCCCCCTCTCACCTCCACCCCGTCCCCTTTCGACGTCCCCTCCGATCCCGTCTACCCCGTGATCATCTGATACCCCGTCATACCACTCATGACCATGAGCGCCATCTCCAGAAACGAGCTCGCGACCCCGATCTGCCTCCCGCTCCCATCGCTCTTATCCTTCCTGCAATACCCAATCGTATAAGCCACCCTACTTGCACACCAGGCCGTACCGATGGCGGCACTGACGACGGGATCTATCCAACACACACACGAATCAGCCCATCTCCCCCCTTCAGCTCCACTCCAGAGCACAACGGGGTACGACACGTACATTTCAACCCGCCGATCAACAACCCCACCAGCATCTGCGGCTGATGCTCCAGGTAATTCCCATGCGAGCGCTGGGCGCAATTGAAGAGGTATTTCTCCTTGCTCTCTTTGCACTCGGCGGCGCTGGCGTAGGCGTTGGGGTAGGGGACTTTGGCGGCTCGGCGGTAGGAACTGACGTTCATGCTGTGGAACCAGGCGACGACGGTGGTAAGGGTGGCGGTGGCGAGGACGTAGCTGGGGGAAGAAGAAGAAGAGAGAGGTGTTAGTCTAGGATCGTTGAGGAGGATGACAGAGAAGGGTAGATTGGGCGGAGGGAGTTGGTCAGAGGGGAGGGATGCGGTACCCGTAGTCCTGGGGGACGGTGAGGGTGAGAGACATGCTGACGGTGGAGCTGGAGGCGATGCTGAGGTATATAGATCAGGGTTGTAGGGGATATATTGCTGAGGATTCCTGGGACAAGTTGGGCGGGGTGAGGTTATATGTAAATAAATGGACCGGGAGAGATGAGGTCGCGCGCGTACGGTAGCTTTCAAATCCGGGTAGAAATTCTGCCGAAAGCCGAGAGAAAAAAAAGGAGACGGAGACGATTGTGGAAAGAACAACAATGCATCAAAAAAAACCAGGGTACGAATATTGCTGCCTTCGGTCTCTATATGGACCAAGTCGCTTGGCTGCCTGGATGCATGGTATTAGTCTCCGGAGAAGACCGAAGGCGTTACAAATGTCCGACCGTCTACCCTCCATCCTACCCCAGGCATCCTTGGAGAGGGCGCTCCGGCGTGGTTGTGACAATCAGCTCTATCATCAAGCACAAGACATCGAGGACCTTCTGGCTGCATTGACTGAAAGAAATGCAACGAAGCTTCTCGTTGGCTCGTAATAGTTTCCCTCGCCTTCACTCTCCTAGAAGGCATCACTCATAAACACATCACGTTCCTTCATTCCACTAAGGGCAAAGATGTAAAAATCGTATTTCAGCAAAGCAACCAAGCCTTCGGACAATGACAGACATCCTTAGCTAAATAGAAAGTGTGACAGACTCAGCTGCGCAGCGCACTGTGGCAACTGCGTAAATCTTGGGCACGAATATTGATACGCATACGCCACGGAGTGAGAGCGTACACGCCGTCCTGGCCCGGCATTTACAACCTCTTCGAGGATTGGAGACAATCAAAACATACAAGATGAAAGGTAGATGAGAAGTGCTCAACAAATGAATGGATCGGGAAGATTGGTTTTACCTCATGGCGTGCCGAGACCCAGCAGCTCATCCTCCAACTTGCGGCTCTTGGAAGCTCGATCTGCCCCGTCGTCACTACTATCGTCAGCGCCATGTTTGCCAAGTAGCTGCTCCTCAAAGTTCCGCGTCTCCCTTTCCCGTGCTGATTCCCTGCCGCCGCGCCCTCCTCCAGGCCCACTTCCTCTTGACCGAGGATCTGGCGGTGGTTTCGGCTTAGGCGCAGACACAGCATTGAGTCCAGCGCTGAGCAACTGCCTCTTATCAACGACCTGCCCCTCCTCGTTGATAACGGCGCCCTTTTCCTTTGCAAGCTCCGCCTCGCTCTTTCCCTTCTTCGCCTCCTTTTCTTCCCCATCGGCCTGACCCTCTTGACCCCTCCCCTCCTCCACAGCCTTCATGACCTCCTTATGCTTCATCTCATCCCTCTCCAACAAGTTCTTGTACAAGGCCTTCATCCCCCCACCCTCCCTCCTCTTTCTCTCCTCTGCGTCTTTCTCCTTCTGCACTTCCTCCTCCTCCAACCGCCTCATCTCCACCTGCTGCCTTTTATAGGCGCCAGTCACAAACTTCTCTTTATCTGCAAACTCATCCCCCTCCAGTTCTCGCTCCTTCGCTAACATCTTCTCCTTCGCGCGCAGTTGGTCGCGCTTGCGGACTTCCGCTGCTGCGAGGAGATTGCCCATGTATTTGGGTTTCTTCTCGACGTCGGCGTTGGATGTAGAGGAGGCGGGTTTGGCATGTAGGGAATCGTAGACGGCGTCGTAGTCGTAGATGTTGGGGTCGAGGGCTTGAGCAGATTTGGAACGCTTATTAGTAGAGTGGTTTGTGGAGAGGTCGCCATATTGGGAGATCTTTGACGGTTTGGATGGGCGTGAGGGAGGGGCTGTGGAAGTGGATATTGAAGATTTGGGTTTGGAGGAGGGTTGAAGACCGCCTAGGGTGGATATGGATTCCGGTGCATCTTCGTCGTCGGGTCCATCTTCGGGACCAGAGTCGTCGTCGAAGATGGTCTTCCTCTTTGCTGGTGGCGGCCTCTGACCTAACGGAGGTTTCTTCGTTATATTGAGGCCGTAAGATAAATTAGACATCATCTTAATGTTTGGTGGAGCTTGATGAAGGAGAGTCGAGCGGAAGAAAGTGAAGTCGAAATTCAAGAATCCAATCCGGCAACTGCAACCGAAGCGGCTTTTATGTACTTCACAGTTGCATTTGCAACAACATTCAGTTTGCAATATTAACATGAGTGGCATAAACCGTCTTCGATAAAGCATCTACCACCTAAATTTCCTCGCCATGGCCTCCGCGCCAGAGGAACCCTCCACCGCCGGCCCACACTCCCCCAACCCCACCAAACCCTTCCGCTTCAAACACCCACGATCCCCATCTCCCTCGCCATCAGGGCCCCCTCGCAAACGACGGTCCCTCTCTCCTCCCTCATCCACGCCTGAAAATCCCCGACATACCCGCCGCCATCATCACCGCCGCCACCACCACCACCACCACCGTTCCAAGCGACGGCCGCACACCCCGCCCGATGCCTACGACAACGAGTACCTTAAAAAGGAAGGACGATACATGAGTCCGGACACCGCATTCCGTGAATCCCTCTTCGACGCCCTTGCCGACGACGAGGGTGCCGCGTTCTGGGAGGGCGTCTACGGCCAGCCTATGCATACTTACTCGCCTTATTACTACCCGGCTTCCGCATCGCCCAACGATGACACTCCAGATGATCCCGAGAAACCAAAACTGGAGAGGATGGATGACGAAGAGTATACGGCTTATGTGCGGAGTAAGATGTGGGAGAGAAGCCACGAGCACATTCTGGAAGAACGGCGGCGCAGGGGGGAGGAGCGGAAGAGGAAGAAGGCGCAGGATGAGGAGGGGAGGAAATGGCAGGCTGGCGTTGAAGGGGCGCTTAGGAGGGGGGAGGAGAGGAGGAAGAGGAATAGGTGGAAGGGTGTTTGGGAGGGGTATCTCGCGGGCTGGGAGGAACGGAAAAGAAAGATCATCTGGCCGGTCGAGAGTGGGAACATGGATGATGTAGGGGCGGGCGAGGTTGAGAAATTCTTCAAAGGTGTGGCAGGGGTTGGGGGTGTGGATTTTGGGGTTGTGCTCAAGAAGGAGAGGGTGCGGTGGCATCCGGATAAGATGCAGCAGAGAGCTGGGGAGGTGGGCATTGACGGGGGGACCATGAAGGTGGTGACGGCCGTTTTCCAGGTTGTTGACAGGTTGTGGAGTGAGATACGGGAGAGAGCGTAGATACCCTTATTGCAATATTATTGTCTTGACTTCATAACATTTGATTGTGTCGCTGTTCATGCCCATACATGTTATTGCGTAGACAGTGTTAGCCGTGGGGTCATCGAGGAGCCGCATGCTGCAATGTTGGACTCACGCAAAAAGGTTACAAATACCTTCTCTCAACAGGAATTGGCCTGCAAGCTCTGCTAGCTAGATTGCAAAACTATCTAAGTCGGCCGCCATTGCTGAGATTGAGTAGGAATTTTTGAGGCGTTTGCTACATATCTTAGGTAGGATTCGCAGTCAAAATAGTAATAAGCCAAGCCAATCGGGTATTCAGGAGTGCAAGGAAAGCAGAGATACCAGCAATACAAATGGTAGAAAGCAAGTTCGATTGCTGGTTAGTCAAGAATTCCAAAGGTCTTTTCGCTGGTCAACATCATCCTACTTTCATGGATTCATCGTCACCGTCATCCGTTCTGTCCGTCGTGGAGGTATGCGAGTTGTTTGCATAGGCGACGGCGCGGTAGCTTCATCAACTCTGTTGGAGCTTAAAAGTCCCTGAAGAGGTAACCGTGTCTGTAGCAGTGTCAGTATTTGTGTTGTTCCCAAAGGCCATGTGACGTACGGATCGGGGGCTTTCTCTCCGTATTTCTCCGTCTCTTCTGGATACTTGTCGAATTGACTCGAATCACCCACCCCACCTTGGACAGGGGGTACGTAAGGAGCGTCGATGTCTTTCTTCGCCAGCCTGTCCCATGTCACCTCAGCGAACCAAGCATGGTTCATCACGTCCTTTGAGCCGCCATGCAAGTTCCCCAGCCGTTTGGTAAGGTCAGGCGTAATGAGTCGCTGTAGAAGGTCTTGTGCATCTGGGTGTATATATGGAGGATACTTCACCCTGCCTCTCAGGATGTTCTCGTAGATCTTCATTGGCGAGCCTCCGTCCCAGAATGGGGTAAATCCGCAGAGCATTTCGAATATCAGTATTCCCAAGGACCACCTAGAAATGCGTGAGAAAAGTTTGTTAGCGTCACGGAATGAGTCCACTCACCAGTCTACCGACTTGTTGTAACCTTTCGAAGCTACAACCTCAGGCGCAAGATAATCCGGTGTGCCGCAAAGCGTCCAGGTAATGTCTGGTACCTCCTTGGCAAATCCAAAATCTGTGATCTTCAGGTGGCCGTGCCTGTCCAGTAGCAGGTTTTCAGGCTTCAGGTCGCGGTATATGATCCCTTGGGCATGGAGGTAATCAAGGGCAAGGGTAACTTCAGCCGCATAGAACTTGGCCACTGGGTTTGGGAAACGCTTTTCATGGCGTGAGTAAAGGTACTCTATAAGAGTGTATGACTGATAATAGTATTCGAAATAATCAAGCTCACTGACCTGCGACTTGCGCAAAAGACTGAATAGCTCTCCGCCTTCAACGAAATCCATGACCATGTAGAGGTTCTTGGAATCTTGGAAGGTTCCCCACAGCGTCACCAAGAAGGCGTGCTTCACCTTCTGCAGCATCTTCCGCTCATCGATGGTATGCTCCACTTGCTTCATCTTCACCACCTGTGCTTTTTTAAGGACCTTGACAGCATAGAAGCGTTGGTTATGATTAGACTGCACCAGGTGCACTCTTCCAAAGCTTCCTGTTCCCAGCGTTCTTTTTAGTGTGAAATCTGTCAGCGAATATTTTCCTTTTGTGGTGCGCGAGGCGGCGGTCTGGGAGGTGGCAGTCGAGGTGGTAGAGATCGGTCTGATGCTTGATCCATTGGTTTGGGTTTCGGCTTGGGACAGCAACGAGCCATCGTTCTGTAAAGGGTGTGTCAGTCCATGTGCATTCCAAAGCACTTTTTGTTGGGGCCAGACTACCAATGGATCTTGCCCTCCACTTCGCGGGGCCGAGGTAAGCTGTGAAGTTGTATGAGTCACAAGCATGGTCTCCCCTCCCTTGTTAGAGCTGTTGGTCGAGCTCAACGTATTTGCCGAAGCCGATGTGAGTGAGCTCTTGTGGCCGCCAGCTGAAGTGGGGGTGATGGGAGAGCTCTCGGTGGTTGAGGTTGGGGAACTTGGATCATGCTCCTTCGTCTTTTTCTTTTTGAGGAATCCGAGAGTCGGCATGGGAGCTTCAGTGGAGCGGAGCTAATGTGATAGTGACGGGGAATTGACGTGAATGCAAGGTACCGAGATAAAAGGGCTGTTAGTAACTGGCTCCGGGATGCCAGCGTGCTGAGAATAGGCACAATATCAAGGCATGTACGGAGTGCAATTGGTGCTCCAATCCAAAAAGTCTTGCTAGCGGATCAAATTGTTGATTCTCCGTCCTGGGGGTGGTATACCCGGTCAGACGCTTAGTTGTTGAGATGGTGCTAGGACCTCTGTTGGTCAAGGAGGGACATGAATGTGGAAGAAGGGGCAGGACTTCAATTGCCGCTGATAGCCTATAAGTAATGGACCCGAATTGAACACAATGATATTGGGCTGGATAAAAATAGGAGAATTGTAGGCGTTGATAGGAAGAGGTTGAGAGGTCAATGATGATTGGGGGGCTTTGTCGAGTTCCCCAGAGAGAGAGGGGAATGGGCTAGTTGATAGCGGTTATACGTCGCAGGTTTTGCCGATCCCTTGAATGAATAAGTAAGCCCCACTCATCCGCAACATCTACTTCACTTTTCAGCATCGTTCCTGGAATTGGATTGTGATGCTGAACTCGAGAGGACAATGTACCGATCAGAGTATGTGAACGGACTGTTTGACTTGAGCAGAGAAAATTGACTCACCCATCTTCTTCTGTGGAACGCCAGTGGCTGCAGGAACCGGCTTCAATGGCTGACGGCGAACCTCTGCCGGTAAGCCATGTGGAATGATGATAATGTGCGTCAGATGTTGCTGGTACCTGCAAGGATTGAGACCGATAAGGTCTGTGCTTCGACGCGCGGGGATGGTGGAAGGGAGATTGAAAGAATGAAGGGTTAAGATCGATGTCGTGGAAAATATTTTTTGAATTGAATACAACATATTGATATTTATTACGCGCGTGATGAACTGATGATAGTATAATTCACCGGTACATGTGAATACCGAAACTTTGCTTTGTTGCTTTAACCTTTGGCGTCAGTGTGATGTAGCTAAATTCCCACCGGTCCCAAAATTACTATTCTCCGGGTCACTGTTGCAAGAAATGGACGATGGATGTTATAGGCTGCGTAAGGGTATCTATATGCATGTCTTCCCCCATCCTAGAACCGCCCACCTGCCCATGGTTCAGGTAATTAGACCGCGCCATGCCCAATGATCAAAGACCCTAGCGTTGATCTACTTGTCTATTCCCAAACTCCAGATTCTCCACGTTACACAGAACAGATTACAGCCTGCGTCCCTAACTCAGCCAGCTGTCAAGGCGAAGCTGATTCCCAATATTCCCATGCCAATGAACGCGAAAGCAGTGCAAAGGTTCCGGTTATGAGTCAGGCTCAGACTTTCCGAGAAGAGCTGCAAAGCGACACTGGCCATGATACCAGAGGTAATGGCGAACATGCATCCGTAGACCACATCACCGGGAGCCGCATCTCCCTTGCCAGCGATCTTGAACCAAAGAGCGGCAACGCCGGCGCCTAGTGGTTGACTGACACCTCCCAGGAGCGAGCTCCAAAACATCGCCTTCCATCGGCTGCTGATCGCGAGGTACAATGGGAGAGCCATAGCAAAGCCTTCGGTAATGTTGTGGATAAAGAGGGCCATGAAGACAGTGAAACCTAGCTTAGGGTTGGCGTGATTTGTAGCATAAGTTATGAATCCTTCCGGGAGTTTATGTAGGGCAATAGCGATTGACGTCTGTAGTCCGATAGCGAGAAAAGCGTTGGTGGGAACATGATGATGATGTGAAGGATCATTAGCTGTCTCACTCAGAGAAGATGTGGAGGTACGAGCATCGTCGCCATTTCCGATGCCGTCTTCTCCGTCCTCGTGGCTCATTTCAGTGTTTAAATGAGACGCAGCTCGGGCACGATTCCCTTCTCGGCCCCTGAATACCGCGTTAGAAGATCCTTCGGGTCTTCTGGGCATGGTCGGCCTGGGGGAGATCTGAGCGATTTCTTCATCAAGGCCAATGCGGCGACCTAATCTAGCGCGAGTATGTGGTGCCGTCGCAGTACGGAGAAGAGATGGTTTGCCAGATGGGCCAGAGATGGAGAAGCGACCAAATGCTCTGGTAGGAGCTCTTGTGGGGGCTCTTGTTGGACTTCGGCTAACAGCCTTGAAGCATTCTTGGCCACATGGTTCGCTGTAGCCATAGCAGGGACCACCTTCATCGCATGATGGCTTCGCTCCGGATACGAAAGTTGACATCCGATTAGTCAGTCGAGTCTGTAAAGACGGCCTCCGGGCTGCAGGTTCCAGAGCGTCATGTCTCTGATCCATTTCCGCGGCGGCAGATCTGGATCTTGGTTCTGGATTAGACTTTAAATCGGACTCGTCATGAGAAAGGAGTAGTGGTGTCTCTTCCGTTACGTTGCCATTGTGCTTATGACCGTGGGAGTCATGATGATGGTCTTCATGGTTAAATTCCTCATCGCCTTCGTCTTCATCATGAGAATGATCGCAGTCCACAACATGAGAAGGTATGTAATGATGCAGTAAACGTGAAACAAATTGAATTCCTATGACGCCACCCAGGAAGCAGCCAATCGTAGCATAGGCAGCGGTATCGGGAGCAAGACCACCGTCAGTTAGGTAACTCTTGGCCTCTGGTAACATGCTATACAGAGAGGAAAAAAGCTGTAGTGGACGCATCAACGGACACGCCATAGGGATCGGTAGCTTCAAGAACAACTCACCATTACACCAAAGCTTAAACTTAGAGATGAAGAGAGAAAGGTATTGCTGTCCTGTATCCGGAAATTCTGCTTTCCGGGGATATGCTGTATGATTAGGTCTACACATATTATGCTGGAGCCGAATACGCAAGCTAAATTCTATTAGACAACAGACATGGCTTCCTCTATCAGGATGCCTAACCTATTCCGCTCACGCTGGTCATGATCCATCCTCTCGTATCATTGTCGAGGCCCATTTCCGCCGCTCTCCCCACGGCTATGCCGCAACTTGCAACCCTTTAGGAAGCCAACAAGTCAAAGATAAAAGAATGGAAACACTAGTGCTAGGATAGAAGGGCGTGATGATTGAAACTGAGGTTGAAAGAGTGAGAGTATAGAACGAAGGTTGAAGGAGATGTTGAGATGAATGCGGTAACCACATGATTTAAAGGAAGAAGTAGGTAAGGCTGAATATCACGCTAGCAAGGTCCTCAGAGTGATTGACGCCTGCCTCGAACGATTGGTTCTCAGTTCATGCAGCCAGGCACGTCGCTCCCTCCCTCCATCACACGAGTCATGCACGCGCCCAGGAAACCTGATGACTGCCTATATGGTTAACGAGGGCGCCATAAAGTATTCAAGTCCGTTGCTTCCTCAGTACCTGTAATGATTAAATAACCACAATGTCCAAGACCACTCTAGCTATCATTGCCGGCATTTCAGCGGCCACAGGCGCTGCAGCAACAGCAGCGATCTTCTTATCGCCCTCAGAACGCAAGCTCCCTCCAACCGTACCGTCAGATACTCCAACGCCCACCTCAACCGCAGCGCCAGCGCGAGTGCCAGTGCCAGTGCCATCTTATCCTCGCCCATTGAAGGATATAGCTCCTCCCGTGAACCCCAATGGCCTCTTTCAGTATGGCTTCCCCGGCCCAGTCAACGACCTTCACCCCACGCTCTCCACAACCTCCGTCTTTGACCGCCGCACGCGTAACCCCGCCTGGGTAGCCGAACACATAACGCCCACCTCGCTCTCTGCCAACAACGCCGATCGCAAGCACTCTTACTTTGTTGAAGATGATGCCATTCCTGCCATATTTCGCGCCAAGCTCGACGATTATCGCCGCTCTGGCTACGACAGAGGTCATCAGGTGCCGGCTGCGGATGCAAAATGGAGTCAGGATGCTTTAGATCAGACGTTCCTACTGAGCAACATGTGTCCGCAAGTGGGCGACGGCTTCAACAGGGATTACTGGGCGCACTTGGAGGACTTCTGCCGGAGGCTAACGAACAATTATCCAAGTGTGCGGATCGTGACTGGTCCGCTCTACCTGCCCAAGAGATCTCCTGAAGATGGAAAATGGAAGGTCTCATACGAGGTCATCGGCAACCCTCCTAATGTTTCGGTCCCAACGCATTTCTACAAGGTCATCTTTGCAGAGGATGGAAAGACTGGAGGAAACGTTAGCTTAGGGGCTTTCGTCTTGCCCAACGCGCCCATCGCAAACGACAAGCCGTTGACCGACTTTGAGGTGCCAGTCGAAGCCGTTGAGAGGGCGAGTGGATTGCAATTCGCCTCAAAGCTGCCTTTGCAGAGAAGGCGCAAGCTTTGTCAAGAGGTCCATTGCACCATCATAGCACGTGAATATGCTGAGAGACAAAAGAACTTGATGGGACAAGCGCCGGGCAAAAGGTTGCTAGGTGAGGATAGGTGAGCAGAAGTGCTCTAAGTATTGCGGCTATTTACTTTGCTTGAGTTCAAATCTAGCATAGCGAAGAGATCTTGTTTGGAGCTTGGTGCTTTTGTTGCATTTGCTAGCGAAAATCTTACATCAATTCGCATTCTTACTTCTGTGCTTGCTTTTCTTTTTGTTTGGGGTTGACACCGCTACAGTCTGCCAGCTTTTCCAGCATCGCCCCTGGATTTGTAGGTTCTAAGATCGAGGGTATTCATACTCCGTACATGCTTTTTTAGTCATCTCGCATGAGCTGACCCAGGCATATTCCTCCGAGGCGCACAGTGACGCGAATCGGCTGTCGCTCAGCAGTCTGCACACACATGGAACGGCGCGTGTATCTCTACAGAATCACCCAAACCGTCGGCTAGAACTGTGCGTTACCCTGACATGCACGGCCCCAAACAGCCCTCGTCTTCAAAATCCTCGTATCCAATCAACTTTTCAGTCCTGGTATCAGATGACCGAGCCTTGCGTTTTATTCTATCAATCGGAGAAAGACCGTCATCCACAGGATGCTTTCCTCCGGAGATCTGTTTCACCTTCTTGCTTCATTGAATACCGCGGTACTCGCTTTACCCTCCGATTTCCATTCCCCACCATACATTCAGTCCAGAGAAATCAGGAGCTTAGCAAATTCCGTCCTCGTGAACAACTCCTTGACAGAAACGACCAATCTCACCCTTGCTACCACCAGCTTCCCAGACTACGACACCTCCAGTAACGCAGAACCGACATTCTTCTGCCACATCAATCCCCCACTTCCAGCTCCACCAAAATGGGGTAACGTTGACCTCGTCGAATGCGGACTTCTCATCTTGACCATGCTCGCCAACGACTCCGCCGACCTCCACGCTTCACGATGAAGCCCTACCCACCCAATAGTGTTGCCATGGACCTGGGGGATTTCGCCCTATTGCAAAATAAGAATCACTGCCGTCAGTCCAAGGTCTTGGGATATTTTCCAACGAGTCATGATCGCTCAAAGGGTGGCGCTCGTTCTGACTCGCTGTATGAACAATAAGGGAGGAATAGTCAGCCTGGGGCCTAGAGAACAGTTTCAGATTGAGGTTGTTGCGTTTATGAATCAGGCCACCGCGTAGTGTAGTGGAGGATGGTAGGAAAGGTACATAGTTCTATATTATACGGTTCTTCTAAGTGATGGTCAAAGATGCTCCAGCAATAATTCTGTACGGATTTCATACCTGCGGCCTTTCCTAGCACGCCTATCGTACAATGATGCCCCCGCAGAAGCGCATCCTCTCGATTCCCCAAACCCTTGCTTTGCCATTTCATATCCCAAACTCCCCCATGTCCCCGCCACTTCCCGCTCCCCCACCTGCCGTTTTCTGTATCCGCCCAATGTACTGCCTGCTGACTGTATTCCACGCCGCCATATATTTCTCCATGCACGTCGTGAAGCATTTTTCTTCCCTCGATGATAATGAGCTGCCGGGCGTCGGGATGCACTTTTCAAAGCAGTGGCTGTTCATTTTCTGGCAAGTAAGGTGATTAGGACGGTGGTTGGGATTGAAAGGGGGTAACAAAACGCGGAAGAGGCAGCTTTACGGATATGAGTTGGCGTGCGTTATTGATGGCGGCCTCTTGCTGGACTTGTTTCATGAGGGCAGCTTTGGGATCGGAGGCGCTGAGGGAGGGGTTGAGGGAGTCCATGGTCGTGGTGAGGAGGGATAGTGGTTTTCGGGGTGAAGTCGGTCTGTCGTTGAGAATCCAAGCCTCTAGAGGAATGCTACTGCAATGATGTAGATGTGCGTGATGCAAGTTGATCATTACTGCTGCAAGAGCTACAGTTTCGTTGCTCTCGGGCCGACCTTGGCGCCGAGCCAATGAACCTTTCCCTGAACGGTGGAGTTTGAAACGCCGGTTTCAAGCATGGACTTATTTTCGCCGCACGCGACTGCGTTCTGGACACATTTGACTGCTCTCTCGTGGACCTCACACATCGAATACCGTTGCCGATCTTGCCAGGGACAGGCGCAATGATACAGCCATGGCCGGCTTTACTGTTATGCCTTCTGCTGGGATATGTGGGAGTGCATCCTGCTGTCCAAGCAGATGTCGAACGGGCTGCTGTCAGACAGATACCGGTGAGATATTGAATTACGTGCGCGTATCTTGAAGCACCTTACTGATGTCTTGTGTGCAGCTACGGTCACATAGTCTTTCATCGGTCAGTCGAACCGCCCTCCCACCTGCGCTGGAGAACAAAAACCAGGGGTCATGAGGATGGGTTCACTAGATCGAGGCTAATGCAGAAGGGACATACAGCCATTTCTAGACTCCGATATGCAAAGTCGCTACTTCGAGTTTGGAGAAGATACAATAGTCCGGGCAGATCAGTATGGTTTCTCCTCGTCCATCGAAATACAGGGTCTTTGTCTCAGATTTGCGTTGGCAGGTACATCCGACTCACATCCGACCGTCAGGCGCAATCAGGATGGCTTTTCTCCCGAATGCCTATGACCGCGACAAATTGGATGGTACCTGCCCTTGAGATGTGCAAGCGAAACCCCTTCTAACGCATGTGTGCAGATCGAGATAGAATTCAAAATACATGGCCTTGGGCATCTTCATGGTGACGGAATGGCAATATGGTTGACAGAAGAGCGGGCAAAGCCAGGAAAGGTCTTCGGGCATACAGACAATTTTAATGGTTTAGGGATCTTCATCGATACGTACAAGAACTCCAGGCCGGGTGTGGTGTTTCCCTACGTGATGGCCATGCTTGGGAACAGCTCAGTATCGTACGACCAAGATCATGATGGAAAAGACAACGAGATGGCAGGATGCTCGGTATGAATACCCACACCGAGATGCCCAGCAAACCTTGCACTGACAAAGGAGACCTAGGCCCGTGGTATCCGAGGTACCGACACGGTGCCTAAGAAGATACGAATGACCTACTACCAGGACACGTCACTCAAAGTCGAGCTTCAATACAAAGCCGAAAATGAATGGACTGAATGCTTCGAGACTGAAGCCTTCAAGCTCCCTCAGACCGCCTACCTTGGATTCAGCGCTCATACAGGCGAACTTACTGACAACCACGACATCATATCCGTCAACTCTTATAATCTACACATGCGTCAAAATACGGGTTCATCGAGGAGCAGCGATAGAGGATCGAAGGCTCAGGCTAAGCCGTACAATCCCGGCGGGGACAAGGAGCGGGGAAGCTGGAGGTGGTTCCTCCTGAAAATTGTACTTTTGGCGATCGTGGTCGTGGGTGGGTACGTGGGGTATACTATGTACAGGGCATCGAATAGAGGCTCGAGGTTTTAAGATGTACAGATTCCTATAGCAGTTAGCAATTCGTTCGTTCTTGAGTCGCGGCATTGGTTCTTTACGTCTAGTTCTGCAAATTTCTACATGAGAGCCCCTGGTCGATGCCTTTCGTTGTTTTCGTTGTTCTTCTATGCATTATGTATCCTTCTTCCTGTCTTTTCTTTGACCGATCCAGCAAACATTCATCCATCCCTATTCAACCCAGGCCTTTTTTGTGTTTGTTATGGGTCCCTCTACACAAACTCAAGCCCTTATTCAGCTGTATGAAAGAGTCTCAATCGAGTATCAAATCCGTGGTGCTTCGACGACGTCAGGAACCTTTCAATGTCTCGTTGGAATATCACTCTTAAGGCCCTCGACATATTCATGCTAATCTTTTCTCGTGCTGAACCACCAAAGGAGAAGGTCTGAGATGTGCAGTCCCCCACCCCTAACGACCTTCCAGGCTGTTGCTGATAATGTTCGCAGATTGCACCATACATCATTTGAGTTCGCAAGTCCTTATTGCCTGCTTGCGGACGCTTGGAGTACTTCAGGAACTGCTACTGGGACAGAGTGGTTTGCGGTTATTCCTTTCAAGGTAGGCATGCCCCCGTATCTACAGATACTTACTAATACTTCTCCATTAAAGGGTTTCCAGGGTGTGGACATCACACTCTTCAATGGCAATCTATGCGGCAATTCCTGCGTGAAACGGTACAGCAATGGGGCTAGTGCATCCCCACCCAGACGTGAATGCAGAATACATTGCTTTGCTTACATGGAGTCATCTCTCGTATTAGATTTTCGCAAGCAGGAGAAAATGACGGTGAGAGCGTCAAATTCCCTCAAGTGTTGACAGATTAAGCCCTGAAGAGCAGAATTCCAGTTTATCAATTCCTTCACCGGCATCGTTCTTGCACTTAAGTCTGAACACCTGAGCCTGTCGCCGATGATTGGTTGTTATTGATAAAATGTCAATGTCTGCAGTTGCCAATTTCCCAGATGGCTTTTGTGGCCCTGCATAGCGAGGCCTACACTAAGGCGGTAGCAGCATCCATCGCGTATCCATCCCGAGTATACTTTAGCTTCATGTTAGCCCAGCCGCATGCCAGTTGCTAGTACAATCACCCGCAAGGTTTGGATTTCCCCTCATCAGAAAATGGAACCTATCCATGTCCATGACCAGTATCCCTGGCACGCATGATGATCGCAAGGCAGGAAGGGCCTTTAAGCGCTCGACATCCCCCAACGTTGACACAACCTCACCCACAAATCGACCACTATGTTCTTTCCCACAATCCATGTCCGTATCGCTGCCGTCGCATTGCTACTCGCATGCCATGCACATGCCTCGCCGCGAGGAGAGGTAACGCACACAAAGCCCAGTCCGCATTTTTGCCCTGAGAGATGTCAAGACATCACGATATCAGTGTTTACTTCGGTGGAGAACATTGTCGTCCCAGCATTGAGAAGCCTCAGCGAGCCCGGTGCAGTGAATGCACTTCTCGCAAAAGCTGGCACCGTGACACAGACGGTACGGAGGTTGAGAGCGGCACATTCGACATCAGTGCCAGGTATTGTGCGGCCAAAGGGGCGACTGGCGAAGCCCACGCATCTCGAGCATGGACTCGACGTTCGCACATAACGTTCTGTTCTATGGGCAAGTGCACGCCCTTGATTTCCTGAACACGTCGCGAGCTGCTGAGTAGAGTAGTGGATCGGGAGAGAAACATCTTATCGTAGGCCTTGGGTTTCACGCAGTAACAGGGACGTTTCTTCGAACTATTGTTTGAGTTCCGGATGCGTCCATGCGCAGCTTCGAAGGCATGATGCGGACGAAATTCGGAAAGAGAGCTTAGCTTTTCTATTTTTGTGATGCTTGCTGTCTTATAATCATGAGTCATTGGATACCGTCCTGTATCACGTGTTCTCATCCCCGTATTCCTCGAAGCTAAAGCTCCATATTTTCTCTGCCACACTGCGGCCGTATTTCGCCGCTGATCCACGATCGTCGCCTTTTGAGCTTGATGATCCCACGTGCTGCAGCAGGCTTGGAATTGTCACCCATCTGACCAGGTTCGCTTCGTTGGCCCATGCCTCGACAACCTGATCCACGTAACCTTCTCTAACCTGAGCTAGTCGGGTAATCACTTTTGACGCCATTCTGTGGGAGTAGACGAGTCCTTGAGCGCAGCATCCATATTTTGGCATTTGGTATACTCCTGGGAGCGGTGGCTGCATGGAAAGTCGTCCGGCCATGAAGTAGAGTGAGATGCAGGCCGGAGCACAGACCAGGCAGGCGACCGCAATGAATTTGTTTGTAATGGTCTTTTCAAATAGGAATTGCCTTATGAGAAGCAGTGCCATCCCCGTCATCCCCGTGACGGCGATTGACACCGCAAAGTACTGTCGCCACTCTTCCTTATTCCACCCCAAAAATTCTTCCGTGTAGAACAGGCGAAGGTATAGCCAGTCCATCTCTTCGGTATTTGGGTGTTGCTCATCAGCCTTCTGGAGTGCCTCCATGGCTCGTGGAAACCACCCGTCCACCGCCAGTGTGTCATCCTCAATCATAGCAATCCATTGCGTTCCAGCGTCGACGCATCTTTGTAGCACGTAGGTGTAGTCGAAGACCCCTTTCTTCCTGTAGTCCTTGTTTGTTTCCCAGTCCCTCAAATTCTGAAGTCGTCCCTGGTTGACGTCGTAGAGCAACGTCTTATCGGCGACGTTGGTGAGCCATGGCTCGCCATAGATAGGGTGCATTTGAGGATCCGCGTGAGCGATAAGGACAACTAAGAAGATCTGCTCTCTCTCGCTTGGCTCAAGACCATCAATCAACGAGCCAATCGTTCTCCGCACGTATTGATCCTGCTCTCGCGCAACAGTCGCTATACCGATGCACATTTTGGGATCTTGTAATGTGGTTTGGCCATAGGTCGTGAGATTGGCATTACGGATGAAAGTTTCAGCGTCGTTCTGGCGCCCAGCGGAGTATCTTGGCTCATAGCCTCGAAGAGGATCGAAGAAAGCCGAGGTGGGATCTCGATAGTAGGCCTGGCTGCAGTAGCGGAATACTGCAAGGTAGACGAGGAGGAAAGCAAGAAAAGCGGAGGTCCCTGGCCTACCACGGAGCCAGCGCAGCACCCCGCCGGACCTCATAGCATGCCTTCGCTCGGCTATGCGCTTTATATACAGTATGTACGGTAGCGGGAATTTTGTGAGGTACGCAAAGGTGGTGGCACGCGGACAAACCGTTGGGACTTGGCAGACCGTTGTAAGCTCCGGGTTGGTGGAGTGAAATGTGCAGCGTTCTGATTGGCCAATCATTGTTGATCTGTACTTGTATTGCTGACTGATGCTGACTGATGTTCGGTATCCATGGAGTACGGCTTCTTCATATAAGGTATGTTTGAATGCCGAATTCCATTGTCTCGTGCATCTATATAGTATGATCCATGGTCTGAAATTCACCACAGTGCCATGCTGCGTCTTCTATGTTGTATAGAACTCAAGAGTCACCATGGACGAGAAAGTACCTGAGAACTCCGTACAGTCGGAGTATACTCAAGTGCCTCGCGAGCGTCTGGCGCCAGGGACGGTAGCAAATTTCCCTGGCTCTCTTGTGGCCAATCATCTTGGTGGTACCCTCAAAGCTACGACTTATCCACAAGACAAAGGAAGGCTAGCCAATTGGGCCGCCTACTTCAGGGAAGGGTGGGACGATCCTGGGATATGGAAAAGCGCTGTAAGCATTTGACCCCAGAAGACGTATCGACCCTGCTAAACTTCGCCACAAGTTCGTAGAAGCGTTCGCCTCATTCCTTCTTTGCTACCTGAGCGGCATGATTGACAAGACCATTACGAATTTTGGGACTTCGCAGGCTCCGGCATATGCTGGGGTCGTTAACATCTTCCTTCTGACTTTGTTTATCATGGCATTTGCGCCTGGCTCTGGAGGTCAGTTCGAGCAGTCTGGGTTTCAAAGCATGGAATACTGATCGAGACAAAGGCCACATCAATCCCATCATCACATTCTCAACAATGACCGTGGGTTTGACGGGTTTCTCACGAGGTATTTCCTCATATTCCACACGAGGCACAGGAAGGAACGCTTACCGAGCGCATCAGCCATACTCTACATGAGCGGCCAACTTCTGGGTGCCGGGCTGGCTGGTGGCGTCCTTCGTGGTGCCTTTGGCGCAGACCGCTCAATCGAGTCAGTAATGTCCAAGTCCTCGGCGCCTCGGCTCTGACGTTTGCTGCAGATTTAAAGGGGGCGGTTGCTTTCGAAATCCTGAAACCGTTGCTGTCGGACAGGCACTTTTAATTGAGACGGTCTCCTCTTTCGCTTTGCTGTGAGTTTCCACCGAATAATGAAGACGGAATTTAATCTGAGATCTCGCGTGTGGAGTGCTCTTGCTTTTGGAGTAGCCCTTGATCCTCGCCAGCGAGAGCTTTTCGGACCCCTAGGCGGACCCTTTGCCGTAGGGTGTTCCCTCGGACTAGTGAGCTTTGCGACGGCTGGACTGGTGCCAGGGTACACTGGAGCATCGATGAACCCCGCCAGGTGCTTTGCTTTTGCCATAACGAGACATGATTTCACAGGTAGGAGTTGAAAGAATTTGCGCACGAAGAATGAGCTAACGGCAAGTGTGTGAACAGACCAATGGATATGGTGGGTTGGCCCTTTCTGTGGATCATGGCTTCTGGCCATTACCTATTTCATAGCTCCTCCCTATCATAGTAGTACTGTACCACCAGGACATTGAGAAATAGGGGCTTGTACACTCACCGTGGGGTGGGTCAAGCAAGGTGCCAGGCACAGTGGTAGTTGAGGCGGTACAAGTTCATAAAGTGTCGACAGGAACAAACAAACTCAAAGAGAAGGGGTTTCCCTTTGGTCAACGCTGCTGGTGACAGATCTTTCCAGGTTGATGCCCAAAATTGGTGTGAAAACAATAGTCTCTGCCTTCGAAGTGTCACTTTTCTGGGGCCTTTTCTGGGTATTGTCTTAGCTTCTACTCAGATAACTTCTGGCTTTGGCTGGCCCGAAGGCAATCACAACTTTTCTTCCATAATGATTAATGCCGTAAACAGCGCACAATTGTGCAAACAAGGGAGTACTCGGAGACTATTGGATCGAAAAGGGAAGGAAAAATGCATGAAGCCAGCCTCATATTCCCGAAAGAAGCAGAGGCTCAGGCAAGACGAGGGTCCAAGGCTTGGCGCGGGTGAAGATCTCCCACTACCCACCAACCGATCGTGCACACAGCTGCCGAAAAGTGAACGGGCCAACGCAACCTCACCGCTCGATAAATTTCTTCCAACAGCTCACAACATCCTTCCTTTCAAGCCTTCTCATTTTACACACTCCTATCACTTTCCTACATATCAATTGGCCTCACAGAAGCTCTAAAACTACCAGTCAACCAGTAAGAGAGAGGACCCTCATCAGACCCCTCCATAGCTAACCAATTTTTCAGTACGGGCAAACAATCGCCTCGTACTCAAATACTACCACCCTCATCATGCCCAAGGTACCAATCAGCCTCGCCCTACTCGCCAGTGGAACCTCAGCTAACCAGCATGCCCCTTCAGATCACAGAAATCCTCTTCGACTGTGACAACACCCTCGTCCTCTCGGAAGAGCTCGCCTTCGAAGCCTGTGCCGACCTCGCCAACGAGATTCTTGCCAAATACAATATCCCAGACCGCTACACCGGTCCCGAGCTTCTCAATGACTTCGTCGGCCAGAACTTCCGTGGCATGGTCGTGAACCTCCAGAAAAAGTTCGACTTCAGCATCCCTGGCCCTGAAATGGAAAAGTACGTGTCTATGGAAGAAGACAGAGTGATCGCCAAGTTGGAGAGGGATGCCAAGCCCTGTGTAGGGTGCTCTGAGGAGCTCGACAAGCTATACAAGGCTAAGAAGTATGGCATGGCTGTGGTCAGCTCAAGCGCTCTGCGTCGTGTCCAAGCCAGCATCGACAAAGTCGACCAGGCCAAGTACTTCCCCAAAGACCACATCTTCAGCGCTGCCACCTCTCTACCAAAGCCAACCACCAAGCCGGATCCAGCCATCTACCTCCACGCCTGCAAGGTCATCGGCAAGGAGCCCGGAGAGTGTGTGGCCGTGGAGGACAGCAAAAGCGGGACCTTGAGTGCCGTCCGTGCGGGTATCCCAGTCATTGGTTACGTCGGCAGCTACGGCGGCAGCGAGAAGCAGAAGGAGATGACCGAGACCCTCGAGGGATTGGGCGTCGGCATTGTGATGCAGAACTGGGACGAGTTCCCACAGTGCTTGGAGGCCATCGAGAAAAGTTGATACGCTTCTTCACAAAGCTATGCTTGGGGATGAAGGAAAAGAAAAGTTTCGATTTGGGTAATCATGATGAGCCTTGATTATTGTCAAGCACGATGGCTAGAACTGATGGCTATACATAACCTAGACTTTGATAGACAAACACTTCCTGCTCTAAACCCAATGCGCCCGTGTCCTTTCCTAGACGGGAGATTTAAAAGCCCATCAGCGCAGTCAACTCACAGTCTTATAGCCTTTTTCTACGCTCCCAGAACCCTCCGCCTGTCAGATGAGATTTGCAAGAGCTGACAAGTTGCAGCGCAGGGGAACACTGGCGATGAAACGTACGAAAATCTCATGCGGGTCGGCTCTGACTACGAAAAAACGGGCTGCTTAATACTTCCCTTGCGGCAAAACGACTAGCCTACCATTACCTTCTTCCCGAACGGTCAAACTACGCCGGAAAAGTATATTAACACTTATCCCGCCTGTGTTCCCTTTCACTCTGACTTGAAGGTCTGCAAATTTCCATGCCAAGTGACTACGCAGACTCTCCAAACCAGTATGGCTACCACTCACTGGAAAATCATCACGGCCGCCATAGCCGATGACCCCATCCTCCTGCGAAACAGCGTCATAGCCAAGGTTATTGCAACGGGCCCCGATACTCGAAGACGCGGCTAACAGGGTCGTTGTCCGGGGCAGTTTGGCCACTTTTTCCAGACCCAAGATTTGGCGGCGATAGTGCAAATGGAGCCCGGCTGGACGTATTGCTACTACGATGTCATCGACCCCGGTCCGTTGCCGCGCGTCATCGTCTTCAGACCGCCGCGGGGGGAACCGCGATTCGGGACCGTACGGGTCGTCAACGGCGACCAGACGTCGGTCCTGTGGGACGTGTTTTCGGAACCGGATCTGTCGGCCCGGAGTATTTACATGGGATATTTCCCACCTGCCTGCGTTTGCCATCTGAAAGATGTCGACACCAAACTTGTTACGTTCCCCGGTATCCAATAGTGCCTGATCCGTTGTTAACAAATTTATTTTGGCATATACCCATAATCAACAAACATCAGACCCTACTCGTGGCGTGGAATCGCGGTTGTCCTTTCATGTTTCTGCGAGATGTCGGGATAGGGTCCAACATTTTGCTCGGGCGCTTGAGAACGACCTTCGCATGCGGCATAATAAGAGTAGTCTCCTCCGGCTCGCACCTCAGAATAAGTCTTGAGACAGAATGGAAATTGCACCCACTGAGGTCCTAATCCTCACCGTCACGTGCTTGCTCGAAAACTTTTCCAACCGACCCCATCGCGGCCATGCTTTTCCGTCGCTGTACCCCCAACGTTTGCCCCATCTTTTCCGAATTTGACAAAATTAGCCTTCAGTCCCGCGCTCTCTTTCGTCAAACCTTTCGATTCCCCGTTGACATTTTTCGAGATCTGCTAGGGTTAGAAAGTAAACCATTCCAGCGATTGAGACTCCCACAGACTTACCAAGCTTTGAGGCTCTTAACCATTTGATCCAAACTGTCGCGATCTGTAAGCACGGGTTCTGTGGCAGTCTGCGTTTTGCCGTGCTTCTTTGGTGGTTGAGCAGCTACGTAAAAGGTCAGTATGCGTGATGGAAATAGCGCGTGGTTATACGTTTGCTCGGATGGTCAGGTGGTGCTGTGGTAGGTGCGTTCGATGTGGACAGTCTTGGATAAAACGATGGGTGAGATCCAATCTGGAAAGTCAATGTGGAGCATGAGAATATCTTACCTCAAAACTACGACTCGTGATCAGAGTGCCGCATCTCGAGGGGGGTCATAGTGGTCAACACTGGGTGGTTGTGGAGGACTGTGAGTATATCGGGATGAGCTCTGGGAGCAATGAAGTATCGAAATGATATATTAAGTTATGAGTAAGGTAGTGAGAGGGAGGAACCTTATCCTTCATCTATTTTTAATCTGATAAACTTTTGTCTTTAAAGGGAGAATTGCGGTCTTCTATACTTTGTTGTACATTCGATTGCGCTCCAACCGAAGACCATGAACTGGGACTCCTGACACATGTTGTATGATCATTGACAACTCAACCTATCTTCTATGCTCTAGGGAACCTGCCGAACGAAGTGGCATCCTCAGCCGCGAAATACGTCAAGTCTGGGCGTGAATAAGCTTATGATGAAATTGCTTCATCAAAGGAGAGGGCTGATCGAAAATTGTCCTCTCCGCTGTGATTTTTGCCAGCACCTATTTTTTGAGGAATTATATCGCTCGACTGCTGTGTTTTCAACCATATTTAAATACCAACAGCGCTACTACTAGCGCCCACTATTCCTTCGTAATGTAAATCGCGTCCGCAAGCAGTATGCCAACACCCGTCAATGATCCCTACTTAACCTCCAACGATGATTCCAGATTAAGGAACCCCGAGACTGGACATCAGCCTCACAGGCGCAGCCTGAATCCAGGCCCCTCAATGGCGACCCCTCCCTCACCCCGAGCCCTCAATCCCACGCGCCGCAACCCCTGGGAACCGCAGACCGACCACTCAAACGGACACCCTCGAGGCGCCAACCTCCACGCCAACGGCAACCACCCTCCCACTCCACCTCTTCCCCCCCACACCCCCTCATCCTCCCCCTCCTTCGTCGACAACAACAAAAACCCCGCCGCCATATCCCTCCGCGCCTTCGCCCTCGGCTCCACATTCTCCGCCTCCCTCCTCACAACCCTCTACCTCTCCCTCCCCCACCCAGCCACCCCCAACCACACCCCCCTCCCCCCACCGACCCCGCTATGGCGCCTCCCCTTCTTCCTCCTCCTCCTCTCCCTCTTCCACTTCCTCGAATACCACACGACCGCCATATCCAACCCGGCCGCTGCGACCGTATCCGCGTTTCTGCTCTCAAGTAACGGCAAGGCATACAACATCGCGCACGGGATGGCCTTCGTCGAATGCTTCCTCCATTATCACTACATCCCGAAACTCACACGCAGCATCTTCCCACCCGCGGTACACACGGCCTGGCTCGTCCTCGGCGCCGCAATGTTGGCCATAGGCCAAGGCACACGGACGACGGCCATGGTCCACGCGGGCTCCAACTTCAACCACCTCATCCAGAGCAAGAAGAAGGAAGGACACGTCCTGGTCACCGGCGGGGTCTACCGGTACCTTCGGCATCCGAGCTATTTCGGGTTCTTCTGGTGGGGGTTGGGGACGCAGGTGGTGCTCGGGAACGTGGTATGTTTGGTCGGGTATGCGGTGGTGCTGTGCAGGTTTTTCAGGAGGAGGATCGAGAGTAGGTGGTTTTCCCTGCCGGGGCTTGCAGAAGGGAGGGGAGGGGTTTGTCTGCTGACGTGTATGTTTGCGCAGAAGAGGAAACGCTGCTTGTCGGTTTCTTCGGCATCGATTATGTACGATATCGGGACAGGACGAGGGTTGGGATACCTTTCATTCCGTGAATAACGGTAGGCTGTAAGATTCGAACGGGCAGTTTCGCGGCAACAGCATGGTATACGGTATTCATGGTTTCAGCATTGTAGCAGGAGCATTGAGCATTTGGTGCATGTGGGAAATGGCATCTAATCTATTACGGCGGAGGGCATCCACAGCGTTAGGGTCATTGCATGCATCTGGAAGGGATTTCTGCATGGAGGCGCAATCCCTGGATATGGAGAGCATAGGTGAAAGATACCCTTGTATTGATAATAGTCGAACCTTAATTCATGCAGATAATACAAGAAGAGAATACCCTCGCATCCTCAGCAAGCAATCACCAATTCACAATCCATGTTGTACCGATTCTCGGCAATGTCTCTTTGAGACTCGTTTCCCCAAACCCCAAAATCAGATCAAAGCACATGTAGTAAGTACTCCGTGAGAAACCTTCACATCAAAACACAATGTTTACACGGGTTTCCTTCGTCTTCATCGTCACTGTTTGTGGGCGCTTCAGGGGCAACAAAAACGGGCTCGCCGTTGCTGTTGGTCCTGGCTCCAATTGGACCCGCATCCGTATGCAGTATTAATGTAGGAATCGGCGCTCCACCTTGGTCTTCGCGGACGGGACCGCTCGCATTGTTTGTAACGCTGTTGCCTTCGCCAGCCTTGTTTCGTCCGGCAGCGTCATGGAAGAGTCTGGCTCCTCCACTTTTGTCTTCGGTTTCCACGTCATTGTTGGCCTGCTCCGATGGTGACCTGCCTCTTTCAGTCTGTCTCAACGCCGCTGTTGTTCCAACAATCTTTTTCAAGATGGATTTTGGTTGGACGTTTCCCTTCCTGAAAGCGGGACCGCTTGCGGTGCCTACAGGCTTCTTGCCTTCCTTGACAGTAAATTGAAAGCGGTGCTCATCGCTAAGTCTGGTTCCTCCATCCTCATTATCTTCACTACTCTCACTTTTCCTTGGTGCAGACGCTGCATTCTCGCCCTGCGTTGTCTTAGCTTTCTATTTGCGCTCGGGTGTGGGAGCGGGATTGCTCACTGTACGCTGCTCATCCGCGGGTGCTTTCGATCCCAGGTCCCCGCCAGCCACTGCATTTATATTCGGCGGTTGTGTTGCCTGGGATCCACTGGCGCCTTCACCAAAATGCGGTGGGGTTTGTGTTGTTCGAGGCTTTGCTGGGTCCAGTGCCTTCGGACCTGATGCCTTCGGACCTGATGCCTTTGGACCTGACACTCGGCCAGTAGACTTTTTAAGGGGCTTGTCTTCCTGAGTCGGAATAGTTGTCAATGTATTGGGTGGCCCAGTTGGCTCTATCGCCCGCTCAGAGTTGAAAGGATCCAGGAATGTTGGGCCGTTTTCCGATCCCTGCACGAAATTCCTACCTTTGGTCGGTGTCACCACTGGCGGTTGGCGTGGTGGCGATTCTTCGGTGCGCATTGTCTGCGGCATGAACACCGATGTACCCCGTGTACCACCACTCAAGTTTGTGACCTCGCTCAGTGGCTTCTTAGGCGGCAGGGGGAGCACTGATCTATTCGGATTCAATCTATGCAGGTCGCAGGCCTGTTGCCGCTTTTTGCCAGCATGATCATAGATGTCCGCACACCCGCAGTCGTGATCTACGCGCTGGTTCCTAGTCGGCAAGGTGCTCTGAGCTGCGATAGGTGCAGATTTGCCCTGGGCGGAACTGTCTGGCGGGGCGCTTTGAGCTGCGGCGGGTGCTGAGTCGCGCTGAGCTGTGAGGTGTGATGATTCGTCCTGAGCTGCGATGGCTGCTGAGCCGCCTTGACCAGTAATGGGTCCTGAGTCGGCTTGAGTTTGGCTGACTGGCCTGGTGGTCGGAGCCGTGCTGGGTGCTGAATCGGCCTGAGCTTGGCTGACTGGCCTGGTGGTCGGAGCCGTGCTGGGTGCTGAGTCGTCCTGAGCTGGGAGGTGAGAGAAACTCTCAGCTGTGCATCACTGTCAGCATGTCGAATCATAGCTATTGCATTGTGTGAGCGTACATCTGCTTTTTCGTTTGCCTTCGTACCTGATCTCGCCTTCGCTTATGACTGGTTCTATGTGATCGGTGCCCTTCTCGTAACTCATGACTGGAGACACATGTTCCATTCCTTGGCCTTCGTTCACCATGGGAGGTACGGCCACTCCACCTTCGTCTTCGTTAACCACAGGAGGTACGTCAACTCCGCCTTCGCCTTCGTTCACCATACCAGCTAGGTTACCTCCGTCTTTGCCTTCGCTCATGGCTGTAGATGGATAGAGTTGCAGTAATGGACGTCAAGTCTCTAAGTCTCAAGAGTTTGATGTATGCTTAGTATGATGCCCAATAGATAAGATTGTAGGTAATGTGTTTATAAAGGACTCAGAATAACACGAGAGATTTTTTATAGGCTAAGCAACCAGCGCATCGCTCCTGCTTTCTAAAGGCTTTAAAGAAATCTGTGGTCAGATATCTGTAATCCAAAACCCTGGCAAGGTAGTTGCGTCTCTCACTTGCAACAAGGAACTACGTTTAGTCTTTCTCGACCCGGGTCTCGGCCGCTGTACGAATTCGTGGAACTCAAGAAACTTCCCCTTTTTCTTGCAGTGAATTTTTTTTTGGATAGCATGACTCCGCGGCAAATGTTTAGGCTTTGCTTCGGTTCTTCAAAGCTTGCTAGCTTCCTCAAGTGCACCGCTCATTAAGGGTCCTTCAGCTTGATTATCCCTACCAAACAGGACCATATCTCTACCACCTCTTGTACCCCACCATGCAACGCACAACGCAGCACGACCTACATCCATCTCTCCGTTGCTGAGGACATTCCAGAATCTCTGTCTGCACGTTCGCAATTGGTCTGCATCTTTGATCATGTTAACAGATTCCGCAACGATTGGCAGCCAGTCCTCCAGCTGATCGATGGGCAAGAAAGGCAACGCATCAATGAGAGTGAGTGCGAGCACTGATTGCTCTGAAAATGAAGGCTGCCCAATAAATGGCAATTTTTCTTCAGGGAAACTAGGAGCAGGAGGGCCTGCATTCTGCTGCATCAGAGCTGGTGAAGCTATTTCCAGCCGAAATCGAACCAACTCAAGGATCGTGGATGGTAGGAGCGGTTGCCTTTCGGATATGAGTGATGGTGGCGATGATATTCGTATCAAGGTCTTGACCGCAATCCGGAATTGTCGTGCGGACAAATTGTGTGGGAACACTCTAAAGAGGACATCAACGTATGGATGTATGTGCTTAGCAAGAAGGTCTGAATTCTGGGAAGCCGATAGAACGGCAAGCATGACGCTGTGAGCTGACTCAAATATTTCGAATAGCCGCTGGTCGCTACCTAAGCCTAAGTAGGGAGTAGCTGCACCTACCAGAAGCTCTTCATTGAGCTCAGGACTAAGCACCGTAGTAAAGTGTTCAGCCGTGTTCAAGAAGTAAAGGTCGAGACAGCGATCCAGAGGGTGCTGTGGTATGCTGCCTGCTGACGGTGGTCGAATTGCCCGAAGAAAGGCTTCGGCTTGCACTGGGAATTGAGACAGGATGTCGATAGCAGTAAGAAACACAAACGTGTATTGCGAAAAGGCGTTTGCTCCAAGTCGCGAAGAGACGAAATATAGCTCCCGTAGTATGTGGAGCGTTTGAATCGCCATGAACGGACCTATATTTCGTCAACATTGGATAACAGTCTCATGGACGTTGGAGACTTACCACCGTCAGCGCGCATATGATTATCACTGAGTACACGACCAAGAAGAGACCTCAAGATAATGACAACTGCAAACATGGTCCACTTTAAGACGCGCCATAGCAAAGGTGTTGTGGCCCTGAGTGAATCCCCCCTCAAATACATCGACTCTTCCGTAATGTCTATTTCTGAGAGCTTATTCTGCCGCCATTGTTCACACAATGAGCGTGTGAAACCCGACAACTCATTGGTCATGTCTGAAAGCAGGTAGGCATTTGGGACATTCTCTACACAGAATGCGGTAAGCCGTGATAAGGAGCCTAGCGAAGCGATCAATGGACCAGTGGTCATGCGTTGACATTGCATGTAGGTGGAGGACTTTGGCGACCAATCAAACTTCATCCCTTCTCTCTGTACTACATCCGAATCGATCGTGCTGAGGAAGTCGCCGCCTTGGAGTCCCTCTTTGGAGTAGAAGGCCGCATCGGTCAAGGTCGGAAGCAGCAGGTCGTTGTTAATGTTCATCTTCTCGCTGTCACTCAGCAGATCAAAGACATGACTGAGCATCATGCCAACGCTATCCCCCACGAACTCGCCGCTAGACGCCTCTTCTTGTAGAGCCAGATTGACCGCTTTGACCGTAGCACTTTCCAAATTGCTCCGCAGCGATTGCGATATGCTCTGTTTCCCTCGGCCTTCAAAGCCAATCAGCAGCCCAGCCAGGACACACAAATGTCTCCATCGCGGCGACCTAGCGTCAGCCCCTTTTACGACAGCAATCACCCAGTCCTCCCGCCCCAGTCCTCGTTGAGTAGGGAACTGGCGATTGGTCTCTGGCGAGTCCTCCGACTGAACAAGGTGTATCGCGGCGGAGTTAAAGATGCCGAGGATGCGTATGGTAGTTCGGAGACCATCTGGGCGCTGCCATATCGCGGGCGCTGAGAGAAGTTGAGAGGTGATGAGGGTGACGTTTAGTGGGTTGGACAAGAGGGTAAGCAGCGTTGTGGCGGAGCCAAGGAGCCTAGGAATGGTCAGATATGGTAGATTGGAAAAGTATCGGTGATATGTTACCTAGAGACATCCTGCTCATCAGATCCACTTTGGAGAGCACGGAGTAGAGTCGCCAAAGACTTATCCATGTTACAATTGCGCGATGTATTGGAATTGATTCATAATTATCAACTGCCGAGGCGTGCGAGGCCAGTTTTTGTTACAATAACAGCCCCTTCGGCTATCGCATACATGTCGCGTACTCTATTACCAGGGCTAGTAATTACCAGCCACCTGTTTTATCTACATAAATATCCGTACATCCCATGAATCAATAGTCAGTCTTTCAGTCACAATCATTCT